TGTGTGTGTGTGTGTGTGTGTGTGTGTGTGTGTGTGTGTGTGTGTGTGTGTGTGTGTTGCATAAACTGGACAGTGAAGAACCTCCACCACAGGAACTGGTCCCTGCTAAGAGTCTCACCAGGCCTGGGTGGCAGCATTCTGAGGGGAAACAGACCCCACTCACTTCCAGGCATATGCAGGTCATTAGCAGAGTTCAGGAGCTCCTTGAAAGCCTGAGGTCTGGTCTCCCTTTTCTTACTGGTTTCCTTCCTGGGCTTCTAATCTTTCTGATTTTGTTTTGTTTTGTGATAGAAAAACTGCTTCTTAAAGATTCTTAAGATTTAGATATTCTCCCCTATTTTAAGATCTATGGTGTCATATAGTATGATCTAATTCCCAGAGTAAGTTCCATCATATTTAAAACCCAACGGTTTATTGAGTGCGCCACACAAGGCAGAGCAGACGGGGGTGGGGGGGTCGCTAAAAATCCCCTTAAAAAAGTATCTGCTTATCGTGATTTTTTTTCTGGGTTCTTTTATTTTTTCAAGGTGACAGAAGAGAATGGCGAGCAAATGCCTTGTTACTACGTCAGGGTAAATCTACAAGAAGTTGGAGGGGTTGAAACTAAGAACTGGACAGTCCCAAGAAGGCTCAGTGAGTTTCAGAATTTACATCGGAAACTCAGTGAGGTATGAATACGTGTGAACACACTCATGAACACAGGACTATAGACTTTTTGAGCATGAAGAAATTCAACAGCGCCTGCGGTTCATAGAGGAAATGGGTTGCTCTTTCTGCTTGCTGTTGATACTGGTGTGACAGCATTTTCAGCCTGGCATTTGGAAATTACTCATAGATCAAACAGACAGATGGTTGTTTGCTTTTAATTGTAAATTGCTATAGAAGCCCAAAGATGTAAGAGACCAGGGATTATCTGGGGCCAGTGGATTTGAAGCTGCCGGCTGTAACCCTTTAATGGGCCATGAAATCTGTTGTGTGTTAAAGCAGTAGGAGGGGAGTAGAGTATGTAGGATTTTTGCCACATGTACTCTGGAGTCAGCATGGTGCAGGGGTTGAAAACACCCATAGCCAGAGTGCTCAACCTGCATCCCATGTCTGCCATGTCCTGCTTGTGAGGCTTAAGGGAATAAATGCTACATAGCAAGCAGAGGAATGGGTGGCACCTAGAAAACACATCAGTGATTCTGCTGCTGTTAGGAATAATGAGCATTGCTTTGCTTTACATATGTATGTTACATAACATAGATGCAATATTATAAATGTTCATCCCAAGTTGTAGAATAGCATGTATCTTCTGTGTGCATTTTAGTCAAAAAAGTTTGGAAGCCACCAACCTTGTATTTGGTAGTTGAGGGAAACTGATTCCAGTGTTTGACTTCCAAGGTGTATGCATACGTGCCAAGTCAGGATTTGAACCTATTTTGTTTCTTTCCCCTTTTACTCTGGAAGTGATTCCACCTTCCATACAGGACAAGTTTCTCTCACCCCAGCAATGAAGACCGCCAAGTCATCTCAGTTCGAATTTCAGACCATTTTCCTCTTTCTCAGAATGAACTAACACTGGAAAAGCTCTGGTTGCTTCTCGGAGTTCTCTTTTGCAAATGAAAGATGTCTGTTTCCTTTAAATTTGTCTCTTGGGGTTATTTCTAACACTCTTAATCAAGGACTTTCTGAATACTAACTCTTGTAGTGCTTTTAAAAGAATGGCCGCCAAAACTGAGTGCCATGCATGTATTTCACAGTTTGGCTGTGCTCACTCTATGAGTAAGGAAAACAGAACGTTCATCTCAGTATAAGAATAAGTTCTTCCCAGAATTCCTGGGTAAGACTAGCACCCTGGAAACTTGCATTGTTTTCTGTGTGACAAGCCATGTAAAACTAGAGCTTGTTAATAAAAACTAAGGAGGAAGAGAAATTTAACCTAAAATGTACTTGCAAAAGAAATGTCCTTGAAACATAAAGCACTACATATTACCAGAGCGTTCCACAAATGAACCCTTGTTTCATTGACGTGCAGCTTTTTGACTGTCACCCCACCTGAACAGATGGCTGACGCTTCTTTTCCCATTCCACTGGCTCCTGTGAGTTTCCTGCCCTGAGACCCCCTCCTGTGCCACCTGTTTGCTCCTCTAAAACTTCCAAGAGCTGTAGTAAGGGTAACCTGACACACACCATACATGTCGCCGTGGTCTGAGAGTGTGCAGGACTCCACCCACAAAAAGAAGCCTGTTGCTGTTTTTTTTTTTTTTTTTTTTTTTTTTTATTGCTAATATATTTAGTCTGTGGTTTGCCTTTAGAAAGAAGTTGCTAGAGCTTCAAACTGTGTTGCCTATGTTTTCTTTGCTTCTTTTGTTTGTTTTAGTTTTGTTGTTGTTGGTTTGGCTTGCTTTGTTTTGTTTTGCCTCAAAAAAGTTAGAAGCATGTCTTCCTGGCCTCCAGCACTGCATAATGTGCTGTGTAGATGCCTATCCGCATGCACTGTCCTATTCCTCCAGGTTCTTTGACCCTGACTACAGTGGGTACATTTTACATTGCTGTGGTGATACATGCCAGTAATCCTAGCTTTAGGTAGACAGAGACAGGAAAATCTCAAATTAAAGGTCATCCATGGGGGAGGATCAGAAGAATAGATATAAGAGGAAACTATTTGATTCTAACTGTAATTATAAACTTAAGATTAAAATGTAGTTTCAAAAGAGTAACATTTACTCTCTTTCTCCCCAACAGTGTGTCCCATCTTTAAAAAAAGTCCAGTTGCCTTCTCTCAGTAAGCTGCCTTTCAAATCTATAGATCACAAGTTTCTGGAAAAGTCAAAGAATCAATTAAATAAGTTTTTACAGGTAAGAAAATGGGAGGTTTTGGGTGTAAGGGCAGGGTTAGCTATGTGGAGGTAAACTGTCACTATACTAAGCTTGCTAGTTTGCCTTGTATTTTTCCAAGTTACTCCCAGATTGCATTGCCAGCAACACACAGATGTCTCCCCACCACCATACCTTTCCCAAAGATGACTACCACTCATCACCACATTCATGAGCAGGGGATGGCTTTCTTTGGCTTCTTTACTTCTAAACCCTTCCTCTTATGACACTAGATATAAACATTTTTATCATCATATTGCTAGTCTGAATTATAACCACATTAGCTCACATGTAAACTTGATTTCTGATACCTGTGCACACATTTAATCCCAACGTATGAGAAATTGAGGCAGGTGGGTTTCTGTGAGTTCAAGTCCAGTCTCTTCTATGTAGTGAGTTCCAGGTCAATCAGGGCTACATAGTGAGAACATGTCTCAAAACAAAACAAAAACAAAAACAAACAAATAAACAAAACACCCAAAACCCCATCTCATAGGCCAGATGATTACATACAGGACTTCAGAACCTAAGGCCGTGTGAACAGTTCCATAATTGTACAAACAATCACTCTTTGGAAAAGAGTGACACCGCTAGGCAAGCTCACCACATCTGATCATAGTCACTAAAGTGTCTTTTGTGGCATCCATATGTGATATGCACATCTTAACTTGGTCAAATGCTCATGAGTAAAGTTGTCTTACAAAAGCAGTCACCCTGGAGATCTCTGAGTTATGTGCAAAATTAGAATTTTCCTGGCATCGGACAATGTCAAGCACTGTCTGCATACTCCTTCTGCAGGCTGTGTCCTGAGGCACCATCACGTATCCACAATTAAGACCACTGACAAGTGTTCTTACATAGTGTTCTTCTGAGAGAAAAGGCAGCCATTTTGTTGTTTGTTTAGAATTATGGTGAAAGGAGACCATGCCATAGTCAGCTCTGTCTGGTCTGCCTGTTGTAGCTGTCAATAGCCCAGATGGTTTTCTATGTAGGAATAATCGATCCTCTTCCTCCACAGAACCTGCTTTCAGATGAAAGACTCTTTCAGAGCGAAGCACTTTATGCCTTTTTGAGCCCTTCTCCTGACTACCTCAAGGTTATTGATGTACAGGGGAAAAAACCCTCCTTTTCATTAACTTCATTTTTGGAAAAACTTCCTCGTGACTTCTTCTCCCATCAGGAGGTGAGCAGTCCAAAGATGGTCCCACTTTAGTATATCCAAGCAGATAACTTTTTGAAGGTTGTTTGAAAGAAGAGGTGTTCATTGAAAGGCAACTGCATCCGTTTTCAATGATCATTTTCACATTTTGGAGTAAGTCACTTGTAAGTGTTACAAACAGAAATAAAAGGATAAATGACAATGTAGGTATGTTGTTGTAAGTATATTATTAATATTTTTTAATAATATTAATATTTGCTTCTGGTAGCACTTATTGTTAATCCTAAACAGCTGTATAACCAAATCACCACACAGACACTGGGTTTTTAGTTAACCTAGAACACAGTGCTGGGCAATATATACTCCCGCCTAAACCTCCAAGCCCTAAATGTTTCCTAACATTTAGATTTCCCACATTATACTTGCTTTTTGTGAAATCTTAGGTCTGGTTCATGCTCTATGTCCTCCAAGATCTCTCCTCCAGCTCTGCTCTCCTCACTCTCTTCTTGCCCCTTCTCCTCCCACTCATCTCCTGCCTTCTGGCTCCTCCCAGCTCAACATTGTGTCTAGTTGCTTTATTTTGGCCTGTTTACACAAGAGTTGAGACAGGATGCTTAGAATGAGTATCACAATGCAATATCTGGATTGAAACCAGAGAGTGGGGGAGGGGAGAAATCAGCATTTGAATGAACAAGGGTAAGGTGTGTGTACATTTCAAAAGAACATTATACCAACAGTATGTGTACTGTGAGTAGGAAGTGCTGTTTCAGCAGGTCTCTCAGGATGTGAGCTGAGTAAAGGCCATCAGGAAAGAAGTTGGGCTGGGTCTGAGGGCTCAGGGAGGAGGGTGTGTCTTTGGGATAGTGGGAAGAACACTGGATTAAAGTGGCAGGTGTCTGTAATGTGCTGCTGGAAGATAGGGCACAGGGTTATGGCAGGGTAGGGGGCTGACATGTCATTCTTGGACATGGAGAATCATGTAATGTTAAAGTTATCTTTATAAAACTGTGTTTCTCTGTTTCTGTCTTAACCTGGCTATCACACAAATAATTAAGACTCTTTTATATTTGTTTAATAATAAGCTTCAAAACACAACAACTGAGTAGTTTTTACTTTATTCTTAAGCCTCTAAGCTAATCTGGTTTTCTCCTAGTATACACTCCAGAGATGCTTGCTATTTGTATCTTTCCTCCTCCAGCTCCTTCTCCTGATCTCTCTTGGACCTGGTATCATGCAGAATATCTTCCAGCAGAAAGAACAGTAGTCAGTAATAGTGAAGCTTCTGGTTAGAAAGTAGCTCAACTTCCCTGTGTCCAGTGACATGAATAAATGTTCTCTTCAGAAATAGGGCCTTGCCGTCAAGTTGTAGTGAGTAACCAAGAATCTTGGGAGTAGCCTGTGATGTTTTAGAGGAGCCAACAGAGTCCCTTTAGCCAGTGAGTGACTCAACAAGATATAACTAATTCCTGGCACTGTAGTTTTTACTTTCAGCTTTGGTTTCTTTGCAGACATTAGAATAACAATCTTCAGCTGCCTTTTCATTGCCTGGTATTTGGGTAGCACTTCATCTTGCCTTGTGAAAACTGCCGTGTGTGTGTGTGTGTGTGTGTGTGTGTGTGTGTGTGTCTGTGCGTCTGTGCGTGTATGTGTCCATTGTCAGCCACTGAAAGCCTGGACCTCATTGCACTCATGTACACCAGTCTGGTGCCTGGCACATAATAAGGTTTGAATTGAAATGTGCTGACATGTAGATCAGGAAATGAGACTAGCTAGTATGGTAGATGCTTGAAACATAACTTTAAAAATACCTCAATTACTTTAAAATGCACATATATTTAAGAGCAATAAATTAAAAACCATTTCAGTTAAAAGTGTTTCAAAATGCAAAAAAGAAAAAAACTTATCATCTTTAGAAAACTGTATTACTAATTCCCTGATTATTTAAAGAGTGTTTTTCCCCCCCCAGTTAGCTTAAAAACTTCAAATCTGGCTGAAGAGTCAGTCAGGCTGTCTCCTGATGGTAGAAGCAGTTTGTCCTTCACGCTGAATGAATAGATTTCTGCTTAAAAGTCAAGTGATAGCCCCCTCATTTGTCCCCTTCCCAATCCCACCCTTCCTCCATCTTCTTTTCCCATGCCCCTCCCCCTGTCCACTGATAGGGGAGATCCTTCTCCCCTACCATCTGACCCTAGCCTATCATGTCTCATCAAGACTGGTTGTGTTGTGTGACCTGGTAAGGCTGCCCACCCCCCTCAGGGGGAGGTCATCAAAGAGCCAGCCACTGAGTTCATGTCACAGACAGTCCCTGTTCCCTTACTAGGGAACCCACTTGGAGACTGAGCTGCCATGGGCTACGTCTGTGCAGGGGCTCTAGGTTATTTCTATACATGGTCCTTGGTTGGAGTATCAGTCTCACTACAGCTTGGATACAAAGTGAATAAATTGTAATAAATAAAAAAAATTTGAAAAATAAAGTCAAGTGATAGAGTAAAGCTATGATGTAAGTGCGTAGTTTGGAATTTGTACTTGAGAAAGCAAGTCAGCTCTGCCTCACTCTGCTGCATTTTCCTTGGTAAGTGACCTGGTATCTGTAATGTTGCCTCTCCCCAGGAGGAGATAGAAGAAGACAGCGACTTGTCAGATTACGGTGATGATGTGGATGGGAAGAAGGATGCCTTGGCTGAACCTTGTTTCATGCTGATCGGGGAAATTTTTGAACTTCGAGGAAGTAAGTATCTTCGGTGGGTAGTGGCATCCATTGCTCTGTCCCCTGGTGTGCATTTGATGTGCTTACACCCACATGTTCATGCATTTTGTCTGTGGTGCTGAAGGCACCACCTTAGGACAGATAGAATGTCTGCGTTCCTGAAACTTGGGCTCCTGGTTTACTCAGCATTGTGCTCCTCTGCATTAGAAAAGAGAACTCTTTTCATGTGACTCCCTCAGTGTAGCTTCATTGTCTCATCACCAAAAGTTACTTAAAAAAATCATTTTGTACTCTGTTGTTAAAGGTGAAGTTTTGATGCCAGGGTAGTATTGTGGTTCCGTGTAGAATAATTTCAATAAGTAAAGTTAGAGCTAAAATAAACATTAGAAATGGAGACTAGTTAAACTGTTTAAGAAATATCCATAATATAATAGCATTCAAATATTAAACTCTTTCAGCTGAAAAATTTGTCGCCTTGTTGTATTTTAGGTTCTTTTAAGATCATTGCTGACCTTAACTTGATTCAGCATAAGCAGGAAACAATAGTATTGCACTCAGTCTTTCTTTCGGCAACTAAGATCTTGCCAACAGATCTTAGTCTTCCCATTTCCCACTGGGGTGGGAATAATAAGAGTGCGGCATTCTGTCTGTTAATATCAGTGTGTTCTTTTCCATAAGCTCAAAGAGATGAAAGCACTTTGTGAATGTGTCAGAGCAAGTCACAGCCTTAGTAGGACTCTAAATGCTGGCACTTCAGCCTGCTTATCCTCAACTGAAAGTCTGCACAGAGCATGTTTGGTTTGTTGGTGACATTTCTGAGAGGAATAAATAGAACGGCCTTGATAATGAGATGTGATGCATTTGCCATCAGCAGACTCCTCAGGCGGCTGCAGCTGCCTCTGTGCTTTGAACAAACAAGACTTTAAAAGGAGTCAAGGGGCCATTTGGGCGGGGGGGGGGGCTTGGGAATAGAGGAAAAACACGAAAAGTAGTAGAGTGAGGAGATACCAGTGATGAGAGAAAATTTAGCAAGAATGTTTGGTTCCTGTTTGTGTTCAGTATACAGAAGGACCTAGTAAGGTAGATGTTTATTTTAAACCCCTCACCTGACAGGCATCCTTCCTAGACTTATGTACATTTGTGATTGACCCGTTGGCTATGAGCTGTCTATCCCCTGACCTAGAAAGGCCAAGAAAAGTTATCATCGTGAACAGAAATGTTCATTCTAGCCTGAAGGCCCAGCCTAAAATAAATACATCTAGATGCTTGGTGCTCTTTCAAAAAACAATCCCATCCAGAAGTTCCAGGCATTTCTGAGGCATGGCTCTGAATCCAAGGCTTGACTTTTATCTGGGGGCTGTTAATTTTTTCACTAGGCACTGAGATTCATCCAGACATTGGGGATGCCCTTAGCTGTTTTAGTCTAGAGTTGCGCCTGTGTCAGTTGTTGCTCTTGTGTTGTCACACCTTGGGAAAAGGGAAGCTACCCCTTTCCTATGGATACAGGTGGCCTGCATCTTCTGCTACGTTATGACCGGGTCTGTGCTTTTCACTTCTCCCTTTGTTAGTAGCCAGACATTTCAGGGACTAGACATAGAAATATAGATTGTAAAAAAAAAAAAAAAAAAAAAAAAGGCTTACATTCAAATTAAATATCAAATGAACATAAAATATCATCAGTTTTTTTTTCCTTTTTATGGTTTACATTGATATTCTACACCTACAAAATGTCTCTATGTTAAATAATAAAAGTTATGATGGGTAGGACCCCTCATGCAAGGAGAACATCCTTAGGGACTGTCTTAGGGTTTTACGGCTGTGAAGAGACTCCATAACCACAGCAACTCTTAAATTGGAGCTGGCTTAAAATTCAGAGGTATAGTCCATTCTCATCATGGGGGGAAACATGGCAGTGTGCAGGCAGACATAACTGAGAGTTCTACATCTTGATCTCCGGCTGGGGCTGGCTTACAGTTCCAGAGGTTTAGTCTGTTATCCTCATGGTGGAAAGCATGGCAGCTTGTGGGCAGATGTGGTGCTGGAGAAGCAACCGAGAGTTCTACATCTTGATCTACAGGTAGAAGGAGACTGTGTGCCACACTGGGCAGAGCTTGAACATAGGAGACCTCAAAGCCCGCCTCCACAGTGACACACTTCCTCCAACAAGGCCACACTTCCTAGTGGTGCCATGCCCTATGGACAAGCATTCAGACACATGTGTCACAGGGGCCATTCCTATCAAACTACCATGGGGACAGAAGTGGACAAGCCCACTTGAATCTCATCCTTCTCCAGATGAGGAGCCTGAGGTTCAGCAAGGGGAAGTATGCCCAGCTGCTCCAGAAGGTGTTACTAGAAAGGAGTTCACATATTATTCAGGACTCTCCTCTCCACACTTCACCCTTCTTACCCCAAACACCTAAGTTATAAAAGACACCATGCTGAACACACTGGAGCACTAGAAGGGGAACAGTCAGGCCCATCACTTCATTCACATTTGATAGAGTCTGTCAGCACTGGAATTTCTCTCTGAGAACTCTTTGTTAGAAAATTGGAAGCAGAAAGCCAAGTGGAAATCTACAACAGCAACTGCACCGCCTCCTGGTGGGGACCAGGCATGCTGCCAAGCAGCCTGGGGCACAGGAAGTACAGCATTATTTCAGCTCTTCTGTAGGCAGAAGAAAAAAGGGCAGGGGGTTGAATTCTCTGAAACTTCACCTCTCCATTTGCTTAGCGAAAACATGAAGGCTTGTCAGAGTTTTCTGAGCAGGCATTTGCTCACTCAGACCCAGTCTCCAGAAGGTAGCACCTCTGATGGATGCTTAGATTCAGACCAAATCAAATGGCAACACTGTGTGCCTTGTTCAGCTGTGAAATTGTGATGCTTGTCATATCCTGTGATAAATACTCTCTTCTGATTTATATTTTAGTGTTTAAATGGGTGCGAAGAACATTAATTGCTCTCGTTCAGGTCACTTTTGGAAGAACCATCAACAAGTGAGTTGTACAAAATTACTGCTACCCTTTGTCTGAATACTGAATTACCGTATGAGATGGCAGCTGATGGATTTCAGAAGTTTCCTTCTTTCGTATTTTGTTTCTGATATGATGCTGCAGCTGGATGAGGAAGCAGAGTTTGGAATGTCTCTTGCAGCATGCATGGTGAATGGATGACAAAAATTTGAGCTAGTTCCAGCATTCACTTTCAGAGTTGAAATAGCATTAAAATGTCAATTCTTCATGTATGGATATTCAGTGGTGGACAGTTGTGTCTATCAAACGTACTACCATAAGCCCTTACTAGATTCTAAACTATCACAGGGTCCATTTACATAAAAGTGTTTGCACAAGTAATCTTCTGTAGGACACTTTCCAGTTGTTCATAGCGCTCATCTGGCATTCATTCATGAAGGCTCAGGCCCTCTATGAGAACTCATGGTCAGTCAGCATTACTAGCTAAGAAACTACGGGTATTCCTCACTGCTGCAAGAGGGTTCCCTGGGCAGCAGTCAGAGCAGGAAGCTGCTGTCCTGAACTGGCTTCAGGGATTAGCACAACAGCTCATCTTAGTGGTGAGACAGTATGAGGAGATAGCACGGTTCTCGTGAGGTCACCAGTCTACTGTTCTGTAGAACTAACCTGGCTTCTTGTCCTATGACTTAGCCCCAGTTCATGTTATTTCCGTGTCCGGAATTTACAACTGCCACTATCAGGTCCTTCTAAGTAACAATCCAAAATAAAGATCTTCAAGAGATTAGCATTAGGATTTTCTAAAGAACAGAGATGTGAGTGAATATCTAAATCTAAACATTTTAAAATGAGTCACGGTTTTATGTGTAGTAAAATAAGTGTTGAGGTAAAAATGTTGTTTTTCCAAGTGTATAAGTTACTGGTAAACATTGGTGAGACATTAATGTGATAGTTTTAGTTTGTAAGCTTATACAGTTTTACAGGAAATAATATGAAGGAAACTTATTTTGTATTGATTTATACATAGAATATGTTTTCCTGGTGATCACTACAAACATTTACTTCTATTTTATTTCTAGAATTAAAAAAATAGTTGATCTTGTTTGTCAAAGGCTTGCTTACTTAGTGTCCATGGATCGGGGGAAGAGCCCATTTCATGCATTCTTTATATCTTGGGAAAACGTCATTAGTACTGACAGGCCTTAGATGAAGAAATTTCCATATGCCTTTTCCCCCTCATACTTGAGCTTGCTAATGTATTTTCTTGTCAGATTCAGCAAATTATGTGCACTTGCCCTGTTCCTGTTGTGACATTAGCTCCTGCTCATGAAATGAGCAGCTGTGTTTGTGTGTGATGGTTAGGTCGGCACAGAGATTGAGGAGCCTCTTGCAAGAAACTCTCAGACTGTTCATGCCAACAGTTTGCTGCCAGGCAGGGAATTGTGGAGCACATGGTACATGCTTTTTTTGCCTTTCGTAGAGGACAACCCATCGTTAAATTAAGTAGCAGTGTTTGTTAGCCTCTTGTCTTGAAGCGGTCATGGTCTCACACCATAACTTGATTTGCTTCAAAAGTTTTTGGCTGATAGAAAATATTAGGTGCTGATCTTTCCTAAGAATTGCCTAATATTCAGTCACAAACTGAAATTTCTTCATTTCTTCATGGAGTGCCAGTGGTTAACTCAAAGCAAAACTACAGAAATTCCAAATAAAACTATAGAAATCAAAGTGTGTTGTTTCCAGCATAGAGAGATTTAGCTTTCTTAGGAAGACAGACAGGCAGGTTGGTAGTTACTTTTTAAGACAGAAATCCTTTTAAATAAATCAATTATTTTTTTGGTCTAGATTTGCATAGTATTTGGTCATGTTTGATTTTCACTGTGAAGCAGTTACCATCTCAGTTTTACTCAGAATATAATCATTTTTCTGACATTAATCACTGTGTATGAAGTGCTGGGCTTGGAATATCCACTGGAGATGTCCTGAAACCCTTGCTTACTCTTTAAAATTCTGGCTGAGATGTCAGCCTCTTACAGAGCTTTCTGATTGTTGTTGAAATTAGTTAATGTGAGTAATTTCAGGTGCTTCTAGGCCTGGTGATCTAGGATGATCCTTTCCCTTTCCAGTCATTCTCCTTTTCAGCCTAACAGCTACTTCTGGATTCTTTGAACTGTGTTTACTTGTCTGTTGCTAAGGGAAATGGTTAAAGTTTGACCTACTAGGACTGTATGGAAGACTCAAGTAACTAGGTAAAAGCTATTTCTGCGTAACTGTGCAGGTCAAATATGCCCAATCCAGGCTTCATTCCCATGACCCTTCATTCCCATGACTTGCTCCTTGCCAGTGAGCATAAGGTGATTTCTCAGAATATTTTTTTTCCCAGGATCCTTTCTCACAGTCACTCTAAGAGGGTCAGTTAAAAAGCATGGTTCTCCTCCAGGACTTCAGGGACCTATGGAGGGTTTCCCAAAGCACTTTTCATTGGCTTCAGGAAGTGGGCTTGTGCTTCCAATTTATAAGCTTCATTGAGAAATAATTAATGTATGGGGGGAGTTGAAATCTTCAGATAAATCTCAGACTTCTTGTCTGTACTGATTAGAAGACTAACATTGGGAAAAGTGAGTGCCACTGTAAAATGTGAATCCTACATTGTATCTCTGTATGAAATTCTCAAATAATTAAAAAAGAAGAAAAATATGTGAACATGTGAACCCCAGGAATGAGTTGGTCATCCAGTATTGCCAAAATGAACAATAACTTTCATAGCCAAAGTTCTAAGTCATTATTCATCAAACATTTAGATCAGGCTGTGTCTTAACCTACTCATTAGCAGATGCCTTCTGAAAATAGAGTATACAGTTTTTAAAAACTCCATCCAAGCAATATATATATATATTTTCTCTTGAAAGACAAATCCGGGACACAGTGAACTGGATATTCAGCGAGCAGATGCTGGTTTACTACATCAATGCTTTCCGGGATGCTTTTTGGCCAAATGGGAAATTGGCACCGCCAACTAGAATCAGGAATGAAGCCCAAAGCCGGGAAACAAAACAGAGAGCACAGCAAAAGCTACTCGAAAACATTCCAGGTGAGGCCTCAGGCTGACAGGGAGACTTGAGAAGAATGTTAATGCCAGGCGCCTCCTCGAAGCTGCTTTTCCTCACCTACCCAGAAGATCCTGGAACTTCTCATTCCGGAAATGTTTAGCACTAATATCACACTTTATACTTTATGGATCAGGCTAAAGCTCACTGTGAAACTTCAGAAGTGTGTTTAAAACACATTTATTTAAATCACTAAAACTAGTAGTAAGAAAATGCTAAAACTGTAGCCTTCAAAAATGCCCTTTGCTATTAGGTTCTTTTTCTTTCTTTCTTTTTTCTTTGAGATAGAGTTTCTCTGTGTAGCCTTGGCTGTCCTAGACTTGCTTTGTAGACCAGGCTGGCTTTGAACTGAACTCAGTGGCTAGCTCTTTGATCACCTCCCCCTGATTGGGAGGAGAGGAGGTAGTCTCACCAGGCCACAGAGGAAGACAGTGCAGCCAGTCCTGATGAGACCTGATAGTCTAGGATCAGAGGAAAGGGGAGGAGGACCTCCCTTATCAGTGGATTGGGAGAAGAGGGAGGGTAGGTAGGATTGGAAGGGGATGAGGGAGGGGGCTACAGCTGGGATTCAAAGTAAACAAATTGTAATAAATAAAAAAATAAAAATAAATAATGCCTTTTGGCTAAAAGTTGTAAAACTTTTGTTTTAAAGGTTCAAGAGAAGTAAGTAAGGCCTCCATGCTTTCAGTCTCCAGTGTTGTACACTGTCACTTGAGGGCAAGTGATACAAAGCACTTGCCAACAATGATGGTTAATACTGTGAGCTTGACAGGGTCTAGGGTCACTAAGAGGTGCCTCCGGGCAAGCCCTTGAGAAGAGAATACCTGGAGTAGGTTAAGGTAGGGAGAACCACCTGAAGTGTAGGTGGCGCCCTTCCATGGGGTGAGCCCCTTTTCCAAAGCTGAAGGAGCAAGTGAGCTGAGCACGGGAATGTGCCACTCTCTGCTTCTTAACTGTGGGTGCCAGTCCACCTGCTCAGGCGCTGGCTGCTGTGTGACACCTCAGATTGCGAGCCAAAGAAAACCCTTTCTTCCCATGTTGCTTTGCCAAGAGCACTTTATCACAGGCAACAGGGGCAGTAACAAATAAAGCTAGTATGTGCTGGGTTCAACCCTCAGCAGTGCAACAGAACATGTGCAAAATTATCTTTTTCCAGACACACTCCAGAGCCTTGTTGGACAGCAGAATGCCCGCCATGGTATAATAAAGGTATTCAAGGCTCTGCAAGAAACGAGAGCCAACAAGCACCTGTTATATGTGAGTAATGAGCCTCCCAGAGGACTCTTTCCTTTTTTGATTTTATATTTGTTTATGGATTAGGATAACTGTTAATCCTTCACATTCTGAATCACATCTATTACTGTTAACTCTGAGTCTGTGGTTTTTTTTTTTTTTTTCTGCTTAATTTTTGTCCTCTCATTTGATTAAAAAGTATGAAAGGGGACACAGCAGTTCTGTTGTCACACACTGAGCTCTGAGTTGACTTCTGATTTACCATCTCCGCATCCTGTATGGTCTGTTATTTCAGCAAAGGAAACAGATTTCCGTTTTTCTAATTAGAAAAATATCAGCCAGGTGGGGTGGTCCATGCCTATAGTACACATACTGAGGAGGTAGAGGCCACTGTGGGCTACGTGACACAAAAACATAAATAAAAGCAAACCCAAAGAAAAAATACAATATTAAATGTCACAGGGCGTGGGATGTGTCTGATAGACCATGAAATGAACGGGGTTTGTGTAGTCTGAATTCCTTTTGAGTCACTTGTCTACTGTGGATGACCACAGAACTCTCAAGAGACACTTTGAGTAAACCCTCACAGTCCTGTTGGGACCTGGGTGGCAGAATCCATAAGGTTACACCATGAGACAGAGCTCACGTGGGAGGTTTATTAAGGGGATACAGAGCTGGTTAAGTGGGTGGGTGGGGGGAAGTAGGTCCTTTCATAACAGGATACAGCGCATGTACAGCTTATGGCGACGACAGGAATGTGTCGCATCTTGGAGGCTGGTAATGATAGTATCCTGCTGTCACTAGGTCCCTGGAGCGGGCCCTGGAGGTACCTGATTGCCTACAGCTCCTTCTTTGCTCTTCCTTCTTGGCAGGTGCTGATGGAGCTGCTGCTGACTGAGCTATGTCCCGAGCTGAGGACTCACCTGGATCAGTTCAAAGCTGGTCAAGTCTGAGACAGCACATAGCAACCTCCAGAGAAATGTCTGTGTAATAATAGACATGAACCATTTTCCTCTTTTCCACAGAGGGCCTGACAAGAACCACTGTTGTTTATTTTCGTACCTCCCTCTAGTTTTATGTGAACTAAACAGGATCGGAGGGAGGAGGACTGCTGCTTTGGTCGGCAACAGAAAAAAAAACCTGATCTTCATTGTTCTTATTTAAATGATATAAATACTTTAAAGCTCAACATGCTGACTGAAATACAAATGTTAATATGTGATAAGAACATAGGAAATATTTTAAATATTTATGAAAAGTTTTGTTGTTAAATGACAAACTCTGAATATTGTACAGTTAATCTCCTCGCTGAGGATTCTGAACATTCCTGTGTTTGACGTGGATTGAAGAACACTGTTGTGCAATGCTTGGTGTAAAGTTATTGTGAAAATTTTATTGTCTTTATTTTTACCAAAGATTTCCCATAGTTTGCAGCATTTGAAGCAATAAAATTTAAAAATAGATCCCAGTGCTCAAAGGTACTGTGATGCTTGAGTGGCAGAAAGGGCTTGGACACCTGTGCCATGTATTTGCCGACAGCATTTTCATAGGAAGCATTGCCTGTTGAGAACTTCTGAAAGCAAGTGTAACATTGGCTACATGAAAAAGGCCAAATTGGTGAGGTGCTTCGGATAGGTTGTGGGCTGAGCCCTGGAAGAATCAGCTTTGAAGATGGGAAACAGACAGAAGAGAGAAGTTGCTTCATGGCGTTGAAAGATTCTGTTAAATCCATAAATCTTGTGCACTACGAGGGTGCTTGGTGAGGTCCAGGGTCTGGGTTTTGTTGGTGAGAGTGGGACCATGGACAAGTCACTGAGTTATATTCCTGGGCTTTGTTATCTGTCAGGCAGTGATAACCGTGCACTGTCCTTTGTCTGGTTTCTAGAAATTCTGAAAGCAAAAGCAAAACTGCAGTCTGAGTAAGAGAAAAAAATGTATTCATGTGGTATAGGTTTATCATACCAGTAGGTCACAACTGACAGGTTCTTGATGAGACACAGATCTGAAAGATGTATGATTAAAACAGTGCAGGTTTCATCATTGGGAGGTCTAATTATAGCTCTTGGTCCCTTTTTTTTTTTTCAAACTAAGATGGTATTTTAGACTGAGGTTGGATATTTTGTGCTTTAGAATTGTCCTTCAGTGAGATATTGAAAAGACCATTTAGAGTAGTTCAGGGAAGAGAAATAATGTGAAGTTGCCAATGTATCATTTGCATAATTCTAAGCCATCATTTAAACTCTGGGTATTATATTTAAATTGCACATAAGAAAAAGATACTCTAACTCCTCTATCTCTTTAAGACAAGGTCTGATAGTCAACTGTAATGAACCTAGAAGTTTAGGCTTTTTTTTTTTTTTTTTCTAAGTAATAACTTGAAATCCTTGGTCACTTGAAATAAAGACTAGCACCATTCCCCACTGAGCAGCATGCCGCCGTGGTAGCCTGTAGGCGCCAGGCCATCAACTCTGTGATAAAGATAATGCACTGAAATTTAAATTTCCATGTTGAGTTCCCATTCAGGCATGGCATATTACCAAATACGAAACCTGTTGTGGTGGTTTGGATGGTTTGGTCTCCCTTTACGCTCACATGTTTGAACAAGAGGTTCCTAGTTGGTGGTGCTGTTTTGAAAGTGTAGAGTTGTTAGAAGTGTGTCACTGGAGGCCGGCTTTGAGAGTTGACAGTTCTCCTCCCGACCCCACCTGTGTCTCCCACCTCTTCCAATTAGATGTGAGCTCTTAGCTTCCTGTTCTGCCACCAAACCTGCTCTATTCCCTATCATGAACTCTAATCCTCTGGATCCATAAACCAAAATAGACAGTTTCTTTGATAAGTTTCCTTGGTTATGGTGTTTGATCACAGCAACAGAAAAGTAACTAGTACAGTTGTTAAATTCCCAACATTAAAGAATTTGGAGACTTAGGTTTTTTTGTTTTTGTTTTTTTTATTATTTTCAGTGGTAGGAAATCAGACTCAAGGCCTCACGCATACCAGGCAAATGCTTTCTCCTAAACTATATCTCTATCTCCAAGACTTGCTTTCTTTTTTTTTTTATCTTTCTCATACTGGGGATTGAATCAGGGCCTTGTCTATGCTAGGCAAGTGTTTACTGATGAGCAATGTGACTGTTGCTTTTTAAAGTTCTTACTTTATTTTGAGACTGGGGTCTTGCTAAGTTATTCAGGTTGGTCCCAAATTTTTGGTCCTTCTGCATCAGCTTTCCAAGTAGTTGTCCTTACAATTGTGTACCACCACATCTTGATGAGGCTTGTAATTTTTTTTCCTTCTTTCTTTTTCTTTTTGGTGTGTGTGTGGGAGGGCGGGGGGAAGGGGTTAAGGTTACCCAGGCTTATCCTCTTGTTTCCATGTCCCTCTGCTGGTATATTAGTTTCTTTTTTATTGTGTTACAGCACTATTTCCAAAAGCGCTTTCGGGAAAAAGGAGCTCAGTTTGGCTTACAGTTGCAGAGGGACAGAGCGCTTTATGGTGGAGAGGCACGGCAGCAAGCGGCAGGGCCCAGCAGCAGGAGCAGGAAACTGAGGTCTCACATCTTCACCCCAAACCAGAGTGAACGGAAGTAAGGTGAGTCTTTCAAACTCTCAAAGCTTGCCTCCAGTAACAATAGAACCCTCCCCAAATGGCCCACCAACTAGGGACCAAGCATTCAAATATCAAGCTTTCACTCAAGCCAGCACAGCTGGATTGCAGGTAAGTACCAACAAGCCTGGCTTGGAGCCCACATTTTAATGGCACTTGTAAAAGTGGGCTTTTCTTTGGGTTGAGGAAAATGGATAGAACTGGAAGTGATTATGTTAAATAAAATGAAACTCTGAAGAACAAGACTGAGATTTGTGCATGTGTGCAGTATTTGTATGCGTATGTGTGTCTATAGCTCTTAGAAGAGAGGATCATGAGAGGAAGAGATCTAAGGGCGGTGGGAGATAAGTAATAGAAAGTGTGATCGCAAAACAATATTTAGATGTAGTCATTAGGTTTATGATTTTTGTGAGATTTTTCTCATATTTTATCTTGTATAGAAATGTAGGAAATGAAGTCAAACGAAAGCATATTGCTGTAATTCTTATATTTACCGAGGGGTCATAATAGTTTCATTCATTGTGGAGATGATGCTAAATAATTTCTCAAATCCATATTTTAAAATTTACAAATTAGTCATTTATTCATAAGAATCTTTTAATAAGTTATAGAAACACTATACACTTTGATGTGCAAGTCTAATCTTTAAGTTATCTTTGGCCTTCACTTAAGTTTGTGAAAAATTCTAAATGACTAAAAATATCTTAAATTAGCAAAATTCATAAAATTATAAAAACATTAAAGAAAATATGAAGAATTGAGCTTTCAAATTATGTTTTTAAGTAGACTGGCAGCAGGTGTAGTTTGGAAATTACAAAACTCAATTCATATAATTCATACAAAACTACAATTCATACAATTCATACAAAAGTAAGTCATTCCAGATACTGCATTTAATAAGGCAAAGGAGTATTTATTTTTGGCATGCTTTCAAACTCATTACAGTCTGAGTCTCTTTACAGGGTAGGAGGCAGGTCTCTGGGACTCTTTCCAGCAATTTGATTAGCCTTTAAATTTTAGTTTATAAAAATTACAGAATACAAATATAAAAATGAAGGTAACATTTCCTTAAAATACCCTGGATAATATAATGGGGGTTTAGAAAATAACATATGTAGCTGCTGTAAGCATACACACATTGTTTGAGATTAGAATTTATGGTCTTTGTTGAAATGCTTTGTGGTCTAAATTCTTTGGCAAATAAGTAACTTGTGAAGTTCATCTGCCAATGTAGGGTTCAGACGGCAAGCCTTTAAAATTAAAGAGAGAAGAGGGTCAGGTATTTGATAAATTTTCATTGCTTGGTTCTTCTGTCTTTAAAAATAGACAAACATATATACATAACTTTAAAAGTAAAACTAAAAAATTATTAAAGCAAGAGAAATAGACATCAATAACATTTGGTCTCAAGCTATCGTATTGTTATGTAATTATCAGCAGAATCTATAATAATTTTATTTTAAAATATATAGTTTTAGTATGCCTAAATAGTGGTAAGGTGTGTGATTCTAGAATGCTGAGTGTTTGGCAGAAACATCAGAGGATACCTAATACAAGCATCATTCTGAGCAAGAATTGTCTCTTCAGTGCCCGGGACATCTTACACAGTTAGTTGTTACCTTCTAAGAGAAAATGTTTGTATTTGTTTCTGAGACAGTGAAATCGAAAGGTTCATCATCACATTAAGCTGAATTTTCACTGCACGTACTTTTGAAACCCTGTGGGTCCTAGGAGAATATACAATGCCGCAGGAGCCAAGTATAGCCTAACAGCCTGCCATCTCACTGCCCTACCTTTGGCGTAGCTCCAACTCCCCTCCTTCTCTGCCATGGTTCCTTTATGCAGTACACTGCCAGTTCAGTAACCCCCACTGTCAGGATCCCCTCATGTTTAGCTCTCACTGAAGCATACCCTGTTTCTTTTCGCATGCCTCATACGACCTGCCTCACTGGTTGCTGCCTCTTCCCTGTCTCCACCTCACTGGGAGTTGAGCCTGCTGTGTTCACCTGCAGTGTTAGTACACAACAACGGGGCTATTATCTCCCAATAGGAGGGAAACAATTCTAATATTGCTGTTGGTTTACTGATTTTTTTTTTCCTGGGTGTTTATACCAGATATCAGGTCATTCTAAACTAGATTTTCTCCTGTACTTATCCACAAAGCATATTATGGATATTCGAGAGCTTGAAATTGGATTGGTTTTGGAAGTTAGTATGATGCAGAAAGCATTCATATTTTTAGCAGTTACTTTGTTAACACTCATGACTCACATGACAAGAATGGTGTGGAGGTAAGTAAACACCCCAGGCATCAGTTGTGAATGCTACTTTGGAAATGTGTTTAAAGCAGTATAAGTCATTTAGTGTCTCTAAACTTGTGTGCACTCTAGATTACTCTAGAGAGCATTAGAAGGTATAGTGGCATCCCACTCCCAGAGAATATGAATGGTTCTTCTGAAATAAGGCCTGGCAGTAGCCTCTAATTCTAGAATCTTCATGACCCACCATGGCAGGAATACCATGAGTTCAAGCCCAGCCTGGGCTACCCAGTGAGACCTATGACCAAAGAACCACATACAGGAAATCATGATACCATTCTAATTTGTGCTCATGAATGTCATGGACCTAAGGCATGCACAGTTTTCTTTATTTCCTCTCTTCTTTCTTTTTTTAAATTTCACTGAAGTTACTATTAAAATGGCTTCCCAGGCCCACCCAAAATTCTTAGCTCTGAAAGTGACCTCATTGATTAAAATGTGAGAGAGTGACTGATTACCTCACACTTATGAGGTATTACTTTAAAACCTTTATTTAATGACAATATTAGAATGAAGATACAGTTTTCTTTTTTTAATTTTATGTGAAGACACAAATATTTAGGCCCTAAGGGCAATGACAGGCCTTTAGTTGCAGGAGGCAGTAGATTTAAGGAGAATAATTTACATCAAATGGGACTTTTATCATCTAAGCTTAATTATGTTGATAAGAATCTACCAGAACCACATGCAATCAGCACAGACTCACCATAGATAGGATATCTGCATAGTGATTAGAAAACAACACCAGAGAGCTGTTCCACTCTCAAGGAAAAGGCAGTGTCTCTAGTTAGGTAGACTTCTATTTCGTCCCCAAACTTACTTTAGAATAATAGTGTTTAGCAGTAGCTTCGTCTTTCGAAATGCCCAAGCCAAGCTGAAGACACCGTGCATAGTAGAAAGCCGCCATGGCCATGCCTTTGCTAATAAACTCTGGGAGACAGTCTGTGACATGGGCTATCATGGGGATGTCGTGAACCTCATCGTAGTCTGCTATCCTGAAGGGATGTGAAATTGGGAAATTGAAAAGGCTATCAGCCATGGTTTATGTTTTCACAGAACAACCTGTGCTCAGAGTGATGCCTGAGCCTTTTGAGAAATTTGCTGTGTAGTAAAGTTAGTATAACATAATCTGCTAATAGCAGGGAAGGATGAACTTGATCACAACTTCCTTGTGGAAATACTCATAGGGATTCACCATTAGAAAACTATTTTCTTATTAATATTTTAAGCATAGTTATCATCTTGTGGATAAATTGAGTAGGGGATAAAAAGAATCCTATATTCCCTTATATAGGGAACAGAGGAAGCCCTGAATAAGTGAAGTCCTGAGGGAATGTGTATTTTGACATGGGCATAGCCATGTCAACAACTTCATGGGCCTCGGACCCATGGGACAGTTGGTAAAGCTGTTTGGGCTTTACCAATTGTCCCATGACAAAAGGTTTTCTCAGGAGTCCAAGCACGAGTGTTTGTGGAAGACTGATAGGTGTGTGCAAAGACTAGCAACTATAGATTCCTCCTCCCGGATATGTACATCTGGAGACTTCTCCCTAAAGAGGCCTCCAATCAAAATGACACCTGAGGTGTTAGCAGAACCCCACCAGATTCCAGCTTGATTTTACATCTGTCTGCCTAGGTGTCTGTCCTTTCTTAATTTCTTCACACACACACACACACACACACACACACACACACACACACACACACGAAAGAAATCAGTGTAATAACAATATTAAGAACTGTTCAGAATCCTAGCCAGGATGAGCACTTGCTGGGAATACTGGAGGTAGCTCCCTCAGTAGCCTGCTGCCTGGGAGGTAAGATGTCCAGGAGGAGAAGGGAAGAACTGTTATTTCTTGCTTTCATCTTCTCTCAGTCTCTGTCCTTCTCTGGGGAGGGGACGGGAGCATGACTGGGACACATAGAACAGCACACCCACCGTCTGGTGGCCTCTCTAGAGTGCCCTGAATTGTTTTTCCTCGTCTGTTACACCTTTTACACAGCATGGATAAATGTATGTAGGAAACAGTGGAGTCTTATGGACCCAGGAAAGTTTCCATAGAATTTGTAAGACATTTGTGTGAGTCTTTGAACAATACCATCACATTATGATCATAAGCTTTATTTCAGTCACATGGTGACAGAACTGTATGACTGAGGATATAGGAAGAGATCAATGCTCCTTAATAGATATTCTATTGTATCAGTTTACACCTTAGCTAATAGCACTCAAATCCTGAAGGTGAATGTTGCAGAAGTGTTTTTTTTTCCAATATGGCCATAACTAGCCATACTGGCTATTCACTTAACATTTAACTAGTTTAAATTTTCAGTTCTCAGTGGCACTAGAACATTTAAGGTCATCAAACAGCTGTCATTTCAGTGCTGCAGAAAGTTTTGTTGGGCAGATCTGGCATAGAACACCAAGTAGTAAATGCCACAATAATACCAAGAACACCAAGGCAATACCAATAACGCCCCTATTTTGTTATTCAAACACTACCGTGACTTGACTGTGTCCCCTGCAACATTCACGTGTTGCATTGTCCCAAGATTAACAGGTGTTCGGGTCACAAGGGCTCCCTCATCCGTAAGATTAAGGCCCTTATCTAAAAGACTGCACACCGCCTTTACCGGGCGGGAGAAGCGTTCCCTTTGAAGGCCTGCATTTGAGAACACGGTATTCCTAACCCTCTGGAGAATGCAGGCCTCACTGTCCAGCTGACCTTGTCAGCACCCTGATCACAGACTTCTGGGCTACAGCAGTGAGAAACAATTTCTTTTCATTATAAACCATCCATCTGTGGTGGCGGGATAGCAACACAAAACGAACTGAGACAGTCACCTTTTGGAAAATGCAACACACTTGGTAAAAAACTTCATCTTATAGTAGTACTCCACAAGAGTCCCCTGGGCATAGACATTCCCTCGTTCAGCTGCTTCCCGTAAGCACTGCAGGGCAGCTTCGGTGTCTTGGCGGATCCCCTGTCCGTAAAAGTACATGAGACCAAGTGCACCTTGGGACTCCAGGTTTCCATTGCCACAAGCTTCAGAATGCCAGAAAAATGCCTGAGAAAAACCACAATTTCATTTTATTATCGGCAGGGAGTTCTAGAAAGAAAAAAATTCCAATTCTAATTGCATAATTATTGGCTCTATCTCCAGGAACTAGTTCTACAGGAATGCCCTTGACTGTACTTATGTGGGAATGGAACCCGTGCCCTTCAAAGTGTTGAGGTGAGTTTCACAGGCCAACATTGTTTGCAGCAGAGGAAGGCCCACTGTCCTGGGTTTCAAGCTTTGCAAGTTTGGCAGAGTAAAGATGGAGACAGGGTAAACTAGGAACTAAGGGAAGGTTTACACCTTCTAGGAGGTCCGATCAGAAAATTGCCGCTGCTGTTAAGGGAAGGCGAGAGCTTTTTGTGTTTTCCAGTTGTTATGACCAAACACCCGAAATGAAGCAACTTTAGGAAAGAAGGGTTCATTCTGGCTCACAGCATGGAGATAGGAAAGTGAGGTAATTGGCTGCTCACACTGCCTCCACAACCCAGAAGCAGAGGGTGGGTAGGCTAAAAACCTCAAGCTCCACCTCCTTCCATTCCCTCCAGTGAGGGTCCACCTCCCAAAGATCCCACAACTTTCCAAAACAGTGCCACCAGCTGGGACCAAATGTTCCAACAGAGGATGTGGGATCAGCTCATACTCAAACCTCGGAGAGTTCCGGCTGGATCCCAGCAGGTGCTGGCTGCCAAGATCAAGGACAACTTAGGCTGAACATTGTTTGTAGTTGTTACTTTTTTCACTGCTACAGCCAAAACCTGACAGGAAGCAACTTAAGAGAATGGTTTGTTCTGGCTCAAAGTTTGAGAAGGGTACAGCCCACCATGCTGGACAGACACTGAGGTGTAGGACCTTGAGATGGCTAGTCACATAGCAACCCCAGGAGAAAGCAGAGACAGAAAGATGAGCACTCAGCTAGAGTGCTCATTTTAATTTATTTTTTACATTTATGCATTTAGTGAGTGTGTGTACATGCGTGCATGTGATGTGTGGGAGTTCTCTCCTTTCTCTTGTAGTTCTGAGGATCAAAGTCGGGTCCTCGGGCATGGAGGCAAGCACGTCTAATGTTGAGCCATTCCAGTGGCCCAGCTTTCTTGTGTCTTAGGTGGTCTGAGAACCTAGCCTAAGGAAGAGCGCCGCCCACATTTATAGTGAGTCTTCAGACATCATCCTAACCTAGATAATCCCTCACACATAATTGCAGAGGCTTCACTACTTAGTAATTCTACATCCTGATTAACTATCACATGACCATTTGGCTAACAGTGAATCTGATTTAAAGAAAGTATGTCCAAGTGGCTGTTTGAGGAACATTCCTGGCGGTTACCTCTTAATAATTTGCAATTAACCCATCACTGACTGTACGACTCAGCCCTACATTTCCTTCTCTGTGTAGGATTTCCTTCTAATTATTGTCATAAGACAAATATTCTGACAGAAATACAGTGGCTTTAACTTTTAATTCCAGTGTCATTTAAATACTTCCTCAAATCAAATTTAGCCATGCTTAAATGATTCTAGTCATTATTATTTCAGGAATAATTTTAGTTTTCGAAGTGTTGTGCTTTGTTCATGTGACCTTTTCTAGCACACATCATCAGGTTCTCACATCTGTAGTTGTTAAGAGCAGGGAAGGCAGAGGCTGTCCATATGGGAAAGGTTTGAGCTGAGCTTTGAGATTTTTGATGATTAAATCTTGACTGTCAGTTTGATTGGTTTGAGAAATTGAGACTGTGAAGTACACTTTTGGGTATGCACATAAGGGGTTTCCAAAGAGATTAAGCTGGGGGGAGGGTGTACCTAAATACCATTCAGTAGGATCAGGGCTAGGATGGAACAAAAAGGGGAAGCTGCGGGAAGACCACTGAAACAAGCATCTCTCTCTCTCTCTCTCTCTCTCTCTCTCTCTCTCTCTCTGTCTTCTTCCTGGCTGCAGTAAGTTGAGCAGAAAGTCACTCTGTCAGCTTTTTTCACGGTAATGGAAAGTCTAGCACAAGAGCCCAAAGTGTAAGCTTCCTTTACATTGGGAAATATAAGAGATATCCAAACCTACATACTTATTCCACAACATCTTCTCTAAAAAGAACTGGTGAAACAATTATTTATCTAGATATAATGCTAACATTAAAAGAAAGAAGGTTGAGATGCAGTTCAGTATCAGAGTGCTTGCCTTGCATAGACAAGGATGGATTTTGCCAATACCAAAAGAAAAACAGTTTTTAAATGGGGCAGTGGATGTTACCTTTTCTAATTGTTTGGGCTCTTGCATTGAATAAAACAGTCCTAGAATACTTTGAGCCTTCACACTAGCTTTTGGGTTTCCATTGTCTGCAGCATACAGCCACAGTCTAAAAGAGAAAAATGAGAGAAGTTATTCTTCGTTTCAGCTTTAGTGGCACAGATTCTTTACTTCCAGGGAAGATTACCTCTCTGCTTCTGCATCTGATCGTTTCACGCCTTTTCCTTCAAAATAAGCTCTTCCAAGGTTGTAAGCAGCAGCAAATTTTAAGTGCACTGTTTGGGGGCATGGAGAATCAAGAATTTTCTTCATATAGATCACTCCTTTTTCCTTCCACAAAGGAAAAGAAAAAAACAAACAGACAAACAAACAAAATAACAGTTTTTAGTTTTGCTCAAGCCAAATGTCTTTCTTCTTATAGTATACAGCATTCAAATTTAACACGGTGTGTACAAATCCCAGAAATATGCTTAGGAGTATGTTTGTTCTGGGTTTTCAGGGATAAAGACGAGGAAGGGTTGTAAAAAGTGTGTGCTGATCGGGCATTCCTGGTAGATATACACTGGAAAGGGCATCTCTTCACCATCTTCTCTCAACCTCACTTTCACCGAGTGTTCTCTCCAGTAACAAGTGTCCAAAATGCCAATCTTCATATGACATCTTCACAGTCACACCGTTGTTGTGCGCGCACGTGTGTGTGTGTGTGTGTGTGTGTGTGTGTGTGTGTTCCATGAAACCCACCTGGGATTCATGGAACTTTCTGGTTTCCTTGTAATTACAGTTTTCAAGACTAATCTAGTCTCTAGTTTACTTTGGTACAGTTTCCACAGCCTTTAAATTTGTTTATTGTGTTTTGCATAGATTGAATTATGTTCCTTGGGAAGATTTGTGCAAAATCACTTATCTCAACAGCTGTTACCTTATTCTTTTACTATAGAGGGTTTTTTTTTTTCGGTGTGGGGGGGATAATTGAAGGAGGGGTGGCTGAGGTCTGTTTCATGTAGTCCCATAAGTAACCAGAGAATCAGCAAAATTCTTTTTTCACTTTATCACATTGTTTAGCTGGCAGGAGAATTTTGAGGGAGTTGTGAGGGAATAGGAACTAAAATAAGCATGAAGAATGTACCTTTTTTCATGTCTCTCTCTTTCCCCTCTTCCTCTCCCCTCCTGTGTTTGTGTTTGTGTGAGTGTGTGTGTGAGTGTGTACTTGTGTGCGTGTATGAGTGTATCTACATTGTGTGGGTGTGTCTGTGATTATACTGTGTGTATGTCTGTGTTAGTGAGTAGGAGTGCGTGCAGAGGTCAGAAGATGGCAATGGATACCCTGGAGCTAGAGTTACAGGTCACTGTGAGCCACCAACTTGGGTGATGAGAATTAGTCCAGTCCCCTGCAAGAATCAGTAAGAGCTATTGACTGCCGAGCCCTTTCTTCTGCCCCTGCTTTGATCTTTTGATATAAAAGTTTTGGGAACTGTTTAAAGGTATATAGAACACAATCAGAGTTATACTTTAGAAAGATGGTCGTGGAGCTGTCAGAATGATGAACTCCGTACATGGGAAAAGGTTAGAGATGAGGTTTATGTTATAATTCAGGTGAGGGGCACTGTGGGTCTGAAGAAACAGTGGAAGACATAAAGGCCTGGGAGAGATATGGAGGCTATTCAAAAGCCAGTGTGAGCAGCTGGTTACAGAAAACAAGTTGCTTCTGTTTGTGAGATGATCTTGACTATATGATGCTTTTAACTTTAAAAGGCTATGTTTTAGGAAAAGAGTAAATATTATTTTTCAAAATGGGTTTATCATGAATAAACGAAGAGTCTCATGGAAAATTTTTTTAGCACACACTAAAACCATCATGGCTTCTTTTGTTTAAACCATCAAAGTAGTATGTCATATTTAGAGACTCCCTTATGTTGAATTATTAAACTTCTGACTACAATTCTAGAGTATGCTATATGCTATTCTTTTCCTGCATTAATGTGTCCATTCATCACAAGGGAGAACAATTTCACCACAGTGACAGGTGTCATGGTATTTCTTCCCAGAAGGTAGACTCTTTCTCTAGCAAACTTTCTTGAAAAGTCACCGAAAATGAGACTTTGATAACAGTGTCAGAATGGAACCACAAGGTCAGATACTGAGTCTACTATATAGATCTGATATCTGGGCATATTGCAATGAGTATCACTGAGTCTACAATGGAAACACATTTTCACATTCGTAAAACTTGCTATGAGGGATAAATAGGTTAAATGGCAAACAAATCATTAAGTAGCCGATACAGCTATGAAAAATAAAGGTTGCTATTTTATAGTACAACCATAGCAAACTTTTAAGAAGTATGACAAGGATGCTCTGTGGGAGAAAATGGGACCAACTTACTTGGTAAAAAAAAAAAAAAGAAAAGAAAAAGAAAAAAAGAAAAGAAAAAGAAAAAACACTTAGAAAGAGGCAAGAATAGGGCAGAAAGGAGTTGGTAAGGTTTTGAAGGTTTTGAAGAATCATGACATAGCTCAGTCAGGACATAGATAACAAAAGAAATGAATAAGAAGCAGATTAAAGTTTTTTTATTTCTTTGATAATTTTAAATTGTTTCTTTTTGATCAATTATTTCTGGTTAGATGTGATTAAAGATTTTTGAAAGATGTACCCCAGTACTTATTTCTAAATTTTATGTTAAATAACCCTTTAACTTTTGTACTGCTTCAGCCTTGATATGATTTAAATGTAAACAGGGGAGCAGTGAGTTAGAAAGCACAGATAAAAATAAAACCAGTACTTGGAAATGATTTCACTCTAGTGAAAGACATGGAAAGTTGCATGTGTGAAGAACGTGTGATTAATATATTTACGGCATCGGGTTGCTTCATGGGGAAATGGCTACCTCACCTATAATTCCTCTCTAAGGTCTTTTGCTCTTCTAATTCTTGGTTGATTTTGCTAGTCAACTGACTGATATCTTATTATTTCAATGCTAATAAAATACCAGAGAAGCATATGATATGGAAACAGAGTGAACATAAAAGTCTCAATGTCTTTTATTTCTTTTATATTATATTTTTGTATTATATTCATATTTATATTTTACATTATATATGTAACTTACTTAGTGTGTGTATGTATGTATGTGGGGGCTGAGCACATGTCATTGTGTGTGTATGGATGTCAAAAGCCAGCTTGGGATAGTCGGTTCTCTCCTACCACATAGGCCCAGGGAGTGCATTCAAACCCTGAGGTTTGGCAGCAGATACATTCTGATACCCTGATAATATTCTTTAAAAGCACGCTGGGTTTTGTAATAACTTAATGTTGATATAAAGATAGTATCCTTGAAAACCTAGAGGAAAAAAAAACCAAAACAGCTGAATAAAGTATAGTACCTTTGGTCTTGCCTGTGTTGGACACAATGCTATTTAATAAATCCAGGGATTTATTTGTTCTCAAGGAACAGAATCACTAGAGACAACCTTGTTTTGCTAGATGGTAAATGTTTGAATTGATCAGTGAGCAAATAGGCATAATAGTTTCATAGTCATCAGCTATTCATCTAACTGGTGATTAATCTTACTCAAATGTTTTCTGGCATGGATTTCAATACTCTTCCCTAAAAGCTGCTTTATTATTTGAAGATCATAAAAGATTGATGAGGTGAGGCTGACTATTGACATCTCTGACCTGAATTGTTTAACTCTGCTCATTTTACAGAGCCAGGAACAGGACTAGATCGTCACACAGGTCAACAGCTCCACTCCTGAACTCAACTGCCGGCCCTTGACTTCAGTGATTTAATACATACTGTAGGCTTTGAATGGCAGACGAAGTGGAAACTACTCAGACAGCACAGTTAGGATGTTCCATTGAGACTGAGAGCTGGGCTTGAGCCCAGGCTCCTAGGATTTTCAATGACTTATTTATCCCCAGCACTGTTAACAAGCAATTTGGCCACACATATTTTCCGTGATTATTTTAGTTGATACGCTGGCTTGACTAGATCTCTAAAGGACTTTGCCCAACTTTGCTCTAGCTGCTTACTCTGTCTAAATGCCATTCCTTCCCTCTATGCTTTTTAATCCAGAAAGGTTCAGTTTGTATCACTTGTTACATGAAAAGTTCCCTGACTGCACCTTTCTATCTGGCAAATGTGTCTATCTTGGTCCACAACACTTAGCTTCTCTAACAGGCTTCCTCAGACTGCTAAGCCCTTTCCTACTCACATTGATTATGTAGGCCCTTCGACTGTCTTGACATTGTCTGTAATGTTTAGGCCTTAACGACTGAGTGAATAATAAAGGCAATGAAATCAGTTTTAGATAGATAGATAGATAGTTAGATAGATAGATAGATAGATAGATAGATAGATAGATAGATAGATAGATAGATAGACGGACAGATGGATAGTATGAGTGTTTTGTCTGAATGTATTTCTGTGTGCACCATGTGTACCATGCGCATGCCTGGTGCTCTCAGAGGCCAGAAAGGGGGTGGGCCATCAGATCCCCTGTATCTAGAGTCACAGAGAGTTGTGAGCTGCTTTGTGGGTCCTGGGAATTGAACCCAGATCCTCTGGAAGAGTAGCTAGTACTCTTAAACACTGAGCCATCTCTCTAGCCCCTGTTTGTTTATCTTTTAAAAATTAATTTTAAACTCTGTGTATGTGTGCGTGCCTGGGGGCTGTGTATGGTCATATGGGAGTGTGGTGCCCAAGGTGTCGGTAACCGAACCAGCACCTTCTTGATCAAAAACAGTACATGCTCTTAATCACTGAGCCATCGCTGCACTCTTCTTTCAAGGCAATTTAAAGGATGACTATAACCCCTTATGAAGGTTACTAGTGCACAAAGAAACTCTGCTGCTTTAAATATTAGGACCTATTTGCATTCTCGTTGTTTATAGATGACTTGAATGTGGAATAAAGTGACAGAGATTTGCACATTAAACGTCTGCAGTGATTTGCTTTATGCATCTCAGAGTGCAGTTTTGGTATGACAGCCTTTTAAAGGTACAGATGATGTTAGCCACACGACTGGATATGCACACTCTGGGAGAGAAGACTGATTAAGGCTGCGGTCTTAAGCTCACCAACACTGAGAGAGCACTCAAGTAGCTAGAGGAGAGCTGACTCAGCGAAGGAGATTGAGAAGTAGGAGGCAAACAACTTCATCATAAACACACGACAGAAAGCAACATGGACATCAACATCTGAGAGAATTAGATGTGGTAAGGGCGTTTTAGGCCTTAAAAGGCCAGTGTTGTGAGGTCATCAAGTGTGGTGGTGCATGCCTTTAATCCCAGTCCTTGGGAGGCAGAGGCAGGCAGATCTCTTGAGTTCAAGGCCAGCCTGGTGTACAAATCGAGTCCAGGATAGTCAAGGCTACACAAAGAAACCCGACTCAAAAAAAGAGTGAGGTCAGCTGTGTTTGCTTTGGTGGAAAGGCATCACAGACATGGATTCTATATCCCACTAAACTTTAAACAACTAGTTAACATAAAAATATCATGGTATTTAATGAAAATATTCCTCTTATCTATCATCTGTTCATTTGTTTCATTGTAAGAGAAAAAGGAGTAAAAAATAAAAGAAAATGCCAGGCATGTAAGGTATTAGCTTATAGACCTTATAGACCTACTTATAGCTTTATGCAAGATTAAAAAATTTAAAAATGAATATTGGATATTTCTATGTCCTGTGGGATTTTTTTTGTTCATTTGTTTTTTTTTTTTTCTGTTTTGTTTTTAAGAGTTCAGAATATTAACCAATATTCACAAGACCAGACTGCAAGTGGTGAAGCTACAGACTGAAACCTCTGGGGAAGCCAGGAGTAGAAAACCTGCACGCATATCAAAGTTAGCATTTTAACCCTATGGATAGCTAGTGAACACAGCAAGGTATGTCTAAGTACCTTTCTTTTTTTTTTTTTTTAAATCTTTTATTTTTTTTTATTAATTACACTTTATTCATTTTGTATCCCCCCATGAGCCCCTCCCTCCTCCCCTGCCGATCCCACCCTCCCTCCCCTTTCTGCATGCATGCCACTCCCCAAGTCCACTGATAGGGGAGGTTCTCCTCTCCTTCTTTCTGATCTTAGTCTATCAGATCTCATCAAAAGTGGCTGCATTGTTCTCTACTGTGGCCTGGTAAGGCTGCTCCCCTCTCAGGGGGAAGTGATCAACGAGCAGGCCAATCAGATTATGTCAGAGGCAGTCCCTCTTCCCATTACTATGGAACCCACTTGGACACTGAACTGCCATGGGCTACACCTGTGCAGGGGTTCCAGGTCATCTCCACAAATAGTCCTTGGTTGGAGTATGAGTCTCTGGGAAGTTCCCTGTGTTCAAATTATCTTGTTCTGTTGCTCTGCTTGTGGAGTTCCCGTTCCCTCCAGCTCTTACTATTTCCCACTTCTTACATAAAATTCCATTCACTCTGCCCATTAGTTGGCCATCAGGCTCAGCATCTGCTTTGACAATCTATACTGCAGAAGCTTTCAGAGGCCCTCTGTGGCAGGTTTCAAGGTTGTTTCCTGTTTTCTTCTGGCTTTCAGAGGCCCTCTGTAGCGGGTTCCGAGGTTGTTTCCTATTTTGGTTTTCTTCTGATGTCCATCCTCTTTGCCTTTCAGGATGGGGATTGAACATTTTAGTTAGGGTCCTCTCTTTTGCTTAGTTTGTTTAGATGTACAGCTTTTAGTGGGTTTATTCTATATTGTATGTTTATATGAGTGAGTATATACCGTGAGTGTCTTTTTGCTTCTGGGTCAACTCACTCAGGATGATCCTTTCCAGGTCCCACCATTTACCTGCAAATTTCATGATTTCCTTATTTTTCATTGCTGAGTAATACTCCATTGTATAGATGTACCACAGTTTCTGCATCCATTCTTCAGTTGAGGGGCATCTGGGTTGTTTCCAGCTTCTGGCTATTACAAATAAAGCTGCTACAAACATGGTTGAACAAATGTCCTTTTTGTGTACTTGCGCCTCTTTTGGGTATATGCCTAGGAGTGGTATGGCTGGATCTTGAGGAAGCGCTATTCCTAGTTGTCTGAGAAAGCGCCAGATTGATTTCCAGAGTGGTTGTACCAGTTTACATTCCCACCAGCAGTGGAGAAGGGTTCCCCTTTCTCCACAACCTCTCCAGCATGTGTTGTCCCTTGAGATTTTCATCTTGGCCATTCTGATGGGTGTAAGGTGAAATCTCAGGGTTGTTTTGATTTGCATTTCCCTAATGGCTAATGAGGTTGAGCATTTCTTTAAGTGCTTCTCTGCCATTCGATATTCCTCTGCAGAGAATTCTCTCTTTAGCTCTGTTCCCCATTTTTTAAGTGGATTACTTGGTTTGTTGCTTTTCAGCTTGTTTAGTTCTTTATATATATTGGATATGAGTCCTCTGTCAGATAGAGGGTTGGTGATGATTCTTTCCCAATCTGTAGGCAGTCGCTTTGTTTTGATGACAGTGTCCTTTGCTTTACAGAAGCTTTTCAATTTCATGAGGTCCCATTTATTGATTGTTGCTCTTAGAGCCTGTGCTGTTGGAGTTCTGTTCAGGAAGTTTTCTCCTGTACCAATGAGTTCTAGGGTATTCCCCACTTTTTTTTCTAGCCGATTTAATGTGCCTGGTTTTATGTTGAGGTCTTTGATCCACTTGGACTTCAGTTTTGTGCAGGGTGATAAGTATGGATCTATTTGCATTTTTCTACATGTAGACATCCAGTTGGACCAGCACCATTTGTTAAAGATGCTATCTTTTTTCCATTGTATGGTTTTGGCATCTTTGTCAAAAATCAGGTGTCCGTAAGTGTGTGGGTTTATTTCTGGGTCTTCTGTTCGATTCCATTGATCCACCATTCTGTTTCTATGCCAGTACCATGCAGTTTTTATAACTGTTGCTCTATAGTACAGCTTGAGATCAGGGATGGAGATACCTCCAGAAGATCTTTTATTGTAGAGGATTGTTTTAGCAATTCTCGGTTTCTTGTTATTCCATACGAAGTTGAGAATTTTTCTTTCCAGGTCTGTAAAGAATTGTGTTGGCAATTTGATGGGAATTGCATTAAATCTGTAGATTGCTTTTGGTAAGATGGCCATTTTTACTATGTTAATCCTGCCAAGCCATGAGCATGGGAGATCTTTCCATCTTCTCATATCTTCCTCTAATTCTTTCTTCAGAGACTTGAAATTTTTTTCATACAAGTCTTTGACTTGCTTGGTTAGGGTTACGCCAAGGTACTTTATGTCATTTGTGGCTATTGTGAATGGTGTTGTTTCTCTAATTTCTTTCTCAGCCCTTTTGTCTTTTGTATACAGGAGTGCTACTGATTTTTTTGAGTTAATTTTATATCCGGCCACTTTGCTGAAGGTGTTTATCAGCTGTAGGAGTTCCCTGGAAGAGTTTTTGGGGTCACTCATATATACTATCATATCATCTGCAAATAGTGATAATTTGACTTCTTCTTTTCCCATCTGTATCCCCTTGATCTCCTTCGACTGTCTTATTGCTCTAGCAAGGACTTCCAGCACTATGTTGAAGAGATATGGAGAGAGTGGGCAGCCTTGTCTTGTCCCTGATTTCAGAGGGATTGCTTTAAGTTTCTCTCCGTTCAGTTTGATGTTGGCTATAGGCTTGCTGTATATCGCCTTTACTATGTTTAGATATGTGCCTTGTATCCCTGATCTCTCCAGTACTTTAAACATGAATGGATGTTTGAAAATGAAGACACAACATACCCTAACTTGTGGGACACAATGAAAGCAGTGCTAAGAGGAAAGTTTATAGCACTAAGTGCCTTCAAGAAGAAATTCGAGACAGCTCATTCAAGCAACTTAATGGCCCACTTAAAAACCCTAGAAAAAGAAGAAGCAGACACACCAAAAAGGAGTAGACGGCTGGAAATAATCAAACTCAGGGCTGAAATCAATCAATTAGAAACAAATAAAACAATTCAAAGAATCAATGAAACCAAGAGCTGGTTCTTTGAGAAAATCAACAAGATCGACAAACCCTTAGCCAAGCTAACTAAAAGGCAGAGAGACACCACCCAAATCAACAAAATCAGAAATGAAAGGGGGGACATAACTACAGACACTGAGGAAATCCAAACAATCATTAGGACTTACTTCAAAAGTCTATATGCCACAAAATTTGAAAATCTAAATGAAATGGACAATTTTCTTGATCGATTTGACTCACCAAAGCTGAATCAGGACCAGGTAAATCAACTAAATAGTCCTATATCCCCCAAAGAAATAGAAGCAGTCATCAAAAGTCTCCCATCCAAAAAAAGCCCAGGACCAGATGGCTTCAGCGCAGAATTCTACCAGACCTTCAAAGAAGAGCTAACTCCAATTCTCTTCAAACTATTCCACAAAATAGAAACAGAAGGAACATTACCAAATTCATTCTATGAAGCCACAATCACCTTGGTACCTAAACCTCACAAAGACTCAACAAAGAAAGAGAATTTCAGGCCAATCTCCCTTATGAACATTGATGCAAAAATACTTAACAAAATACTTGCAAACCGGATCCAAGAACACATCAAAGATATTATCCACTATGACCAAGTAGGCTTCATCCCAGGTATGCAGGGGTGGTTCAATATACGGAAATCCATCAATGTGATCCACCATATTAACAAACTGAAAGAAAAAAACCACATGATAATCTCCCTAGATGCTGAAAAAGCATTTGACAAAGTCTAAGTACCTTTCAAAGCTAAAAAGTAAGTTTGGAAAGCCACGCATGGTGGCACACGCCTTAATCCCAGCACTTAGGGAGGCAGAGGCAGGCCGATCTCTGTCAGTTCAAGGCCAGCCTGCTCTACAAAGCCAGTCCAGGATAGCCAGTGCTACAGAGGGAAACCTTGTCTCTGTGACTACAAAAACAAAACCAAACAAAAAAAGCCTAGAAAAATTAAGTTTGGAATTGTTATTTGGGTAGCATATGACATTTAATTGTTCAATGAGAAAGGGCAACTGGAATGAGAAAGCAAAAAGTTTAATAATGATCCCCAAAACTCAGTTTTTTTGACCCTTATCTTTAGCAAGATAACATACATAGGTGTTAAAATTATTATTGATGCGCAATTGATTACAGTGCCGGTATTAGAGTTATGATATATAGATTATGTTCATTAACAAGGAAGGGCATCCAAAATTGTTACAGTAAAAATGCTATTACAAATTGGTATATACCGATGCTGAGACTTATGGCCAAACTTTGGGCAGCAGGGAATCATATGAAAGAAGTGGGAAATAGTAAGACTTGGAGAGGACAGGAGCTCCACAAGGAGAACAAGAGAACCAAAAAATCTGAGCACGGGGTCTTTCCTGAGACTGATACTCCAACCAAGGACCATACATGGAGATAACCTAAGACCCCTGCACAGATGGAGCCCATGGCAGTTCAGTATCCAAGTGGGTTCCATTGTAATAGGAACAGGGACTGTCTCTGACATGAACTGATTGGCCTGCTCTTTAATTACCTCCCCCTGAGGGGGAAGCAGCATTACCAGGCCACAGAGGAAGACAATGCAGCCAAGACTTGATAGACTAGGATCAGAAGGAAGGAAAAGAGGACTGCCCCTATCAGTGGACTTGGGGAGGGGCATGCATGCAGAGGGTAGAGGAAGGGAGGGATTGGGATGGGAGGAGGGAGGAAATCACAGGGGGGATACAAAGTGAATAAAGTGTAATTAATAAAGAATTAAAAGAAAAAATTCACTTAAAAAAAACCAAATTGGTATATAGTGTATGATTGTTTGAAAATATTTATGTAAATATATATGTATGTATATAATTGTTATATGTATGTGCATAGACACACATGTATACAGTACACGTATACAGTTATTCTTTGTCCTCCTCAGTGATTGGTTCCAAAAGCTTCATGGGTACAAAAGTCATGGATGCTCAGCTCCCTTATACAAAGTGGCATAATGTGTATAACCCAGATATATCCTGTCACACTTTTTGTTATTGATAGATTGCTTATAAAGATACACACAGAAAACTTTAATACAGGGCTTTAACATCCATTCCATTTCAATGTTTTTAATTTTCATTTTTTTAAAATAAATTTTTTGTGTGGATTCACACGTGCACTGGTGCATGTCTAGAGGCCAAAGGAGGACTTTTGTGAATTAATACTTTTCTTTTACCATGATGTGCAGGGATTAAACTTAGGTTGTCTGGCTTGCTCAGCAAGTACTTTTACCCATTTTTAGCCTTTTTGCTGACCTGTATAATTTTTTTTTAATATAAGACTTTTGGGAGTCCTTCATCAATAAACATAATCTATGTTATAATATTACTACCTGTGTCATAATTGTGTACCATTCATAAGTATTCACAGTTGATGGTAGAATTTGAAGTGATTCAATTTTTATTTTCTAAATTCTATTCTTATTTGTATAGCTTTCTAATCATTCTTTTAAAAATAAGGGAAATATCTTCAACAGCATGTTAACAGCTAATGATAGCAAGGAACACTTTTATGATGCATTACAGAAGCTGAATTATACAAATGACCCTTGAGGACTCATATTGTGCAACTGAGAAATTCTGTGGCAAGCTGACAGTGTAATTTTTCACGCAAGCTTATTAAAATCTTTCGCACACACAGTGCTTGTTTACAAGTTCGGCCTCACAAAATTTAAAACTATAGACATTTGTACTATTTGTACCATATATAAGAATTCTTTTATGCAAATTTTATGAAAAATTCCTAATGTGAGAGTAAGGATAGTTATAATATTTTCAGGAAACTATGAAAGGGCATGTTGTTATCCCTGAGAACCATTGTCAGAAGAAGAGCCCGAGTTTTTGCTCATACCTGGACCACAATAAAGCGAACTCAGCAGTAGACTGCCTTTCAGGAGAGATCAAATGGTCCTTCGTGGCAGTGGATGCTTATTTCACTAGACCAGCTCGCCACAAAACTACAGTGGCACCTTCAACACAGAAGCCTTTCCTGAGGATCACTCCTTGTTGTTCATATGGAGGAGAAACTCAACGGAAAGACTGAGCATTTCTGTAGCAGTTGGGGATGTTCACTCAAGTTCAAATACAGAGAGGCTCATGTTTCTGATAGCTAAATCTAGTTAAATCTGATAGCTAAATCTGTGAAGAGACTGCCAACTTATGGTTAGAGCTGAAGGGCGACAAAACAGGAAGGGACCAAAAGAAATTAACTTTGTCTTTTATAAATGTATATAATAATATCAATATTCTTTAAAATACCAAGAAAATTAAATACTAAGATGTAAAAAAAAAAATAGAGATTCTGAAAACAATTTGGCTGCACCAAGTAACCCAGTGGCGGTGAAATCTTAGACATTATGAAGAAAACAATAACTTACAGCATTGGGTTCAGTGCCCAACCCATCATAATACATCACTCCTAGCTGATAAATTGCTTGATGGTCATTCTCCTGGATTTCTTCAAACTGTGCTAAGGCTTCTTCATACCAGCCCTGAAAAACCCAGAGAATATGTTTTGTGTGTTTTATTAAATGCATTTTATTATGTATTTAAAGTGACCTCAAACTGAAGCATCCAATGGTTGTTTGTGCCTAAGGATACACAGTTAACAAATGATGCAGCCATATTGGAACTGACAGCTCAAACTGAGAAGACATCGTTTTAAGTCACCGGGCAGTGCCATCTCAGAGAGGTTGTGCACACTGAGGCATCAGAAGATATTTATATAGAGAGTAAATGACGGTACCAATATCAAAAGGTTAGAGAGAACAGAATCTATGACTAATAATTTCTAGAGTGCTCAAAGGATCATGAGGGGTTGGGACAATCCTTTGACAATCCTTTGATGAATAATTGAAGCTCTATTACTGGAGCCGACATGCTAGCACACAGAATTTTTCTTATATCTACCTACTAAGCTATTCCACCATAATGTGGGTAAACAAGGAAATGGTCTCCACATGTGCTGTATAGGATATATGAAAAGCTACTTTCCATACCAAATAACCAGGGACTTCAATTATTGTTAATATTAATTGTTAAATTGCTTGGGAATGATATCATACATTATGAATAAAACCATAAAGCTTACATTTTCAGTTTGCAGTGTGAAAGCAGTTTTTTCAAAATGACCCTTTAGAATAACTTTTGTGAAAGTTCAGATATCTCCTTAATCTTGTATTTGTGTGCCACACTTAAAGCCGCAACTACAGCCTATGTGATTTTGCAGCATTTCTCTGGCATAACAATGTGGGAAGGTTGAAAGTTTGCTGTGACCGTCTTCTGTGTCTGCTTTTCATGTGTGTGTGTGATGTTGTGGGTGGGGCACAGGGCCTTGTTTACCCTCTGCAATTGTTCTGCTGCTACATTAATAACCCCAACAATTATGTCCTAACAATATAATTATATAAGAAATATTAAAAATGCTACCTCTTCGAAATAGAGTTGACCTCTTAGGAAATATGCCATAGCATCCCCATTTTTTATTCTTTCTTTCAGGAACTGCAGTGCTCTATCCACCAAATTAGAATGGCGGCGATAATCTGATTCAGAAAGGTAAAAACTGTGTTAACTACATAATATGAAGCCCATATATAATGGAGGATGCATTACATGCTGTTAATACCAGTTTCTCCTCAACTTCTAGGTCCTAAAACTTAGCTGAGAAAAAAGAAGATAACCTAAATAGAATCATGATCACAGCATGTAACATGACAGCTGGCACAATCAAGAGCTGCTGATTGAGTCTGAGACCACTGCTCACTGCCAGACAGGCACTCAAATGCAGTCGGTGCATGCACTGGGCAGTCTTGCAGGTGAGTTAAAGTCTTAGCTTGAGCCATACTTAGACCTAACTAATCAAATGAGCTGACCACTTCTAGTTTAATTTTAAAGGCATATATAAAAATAGCTTTAAATAAGCCAGTTGAAGCAAAGCAGTGTTGCAGTCTCTGAAAGAAGCAACATCTGGCTTCTCTTTCTTAGTTAGAAGTGAATCCTTAAATCCCGAGGGTGAAAAAAAAAATCATATTCAGGATTGAATTGCCAGACACCTCCAGGGTCAATTTGTTGTCTGAATAAGAAGGTCACAATTTCCAGGAAAGTCAGAAAAGAGTATAATATTAACTACCTCCTGGAAACCATAGGTATATATTTTTTCGTTGTTTATTCTAGCATGCATGGAATTTCAGTGAAGATATTTTCCAAGCAAAGATTAAATATTCAGATTTATACCAGGCATTTCCTGCTTCCATTGGAAGAATTTTTGTTGTTGATCATCATACTGAGATAGAGAGAAAGGGTTTGGGGGCAACTTCTCACTGGTCAGTTTCATCCTGTTTCCACGATGTGGACCCTGTAAATAAGGAAAGCACACACTGTGATTACAATTTCTTCTAGAAGAAGCACAAGGGAAGACCTTCCCCCACATTGCCTGGCCGCAGGGACCCTGAGCTAGCAACAATTCCTGCCTGGCTGTGGATTCACACTTGGTAGGGAATCCTTTTAAACAGCTGCTGACACTCAGATGACACAGTTCACAGACAGGGTTCCTGTCACTGGGGGCTTTCTCCTGCTCTTTAGCTGAAACTTATCAGAGCAATCCACTTTAGATGAAAGCATTCGTTTTACCTGGGAATACACTGCATTTTAGCTGTGTTGCTCAGTTTTCTCTTCCGGTCTGTACTGGATTGCCATGTTACCAGATGGATTGCCACAGTATGGTAAATCAGAGCCTTCATATAAAATGCAGGGGCCAAGTCATTTGGGATGAAGGAGTCCAGGTTTGCCTAGGCTGAAGGTAGTGAGGACAGCAAACTCTGTTGTTGCTATGCTTTTTTTTTTCTTTCTTTCTTTCTTGCTCTTTGACATTCTATTGGTTCAATTTCCTTTCACCAATCAGGAGCCAGCTCCCAGGCAAAGTCTCTGATTGGTTGTCTACAGATGATCTCAAGAGAAACTTTGTGTGATTGGAAAGCTGTATTTACTTCCAGGTTACTATTTTAGGCAGTAAGCTGCTTCGTTTAAGTGGAACTCAAAAGAAAGGTGAAATGGTTTACTAAGTTAGAAAAAAAATTACTGAAATGTCTGTACTGGAGGAAGTTCATTAAAAGCTCATTTAATTACCTGTAGTTTGAAATAAAGGATCTCAAAGTGTCCATTTCTTGATATACAAAGTTAATGGGCCCAGCATGGTGGCTAAACGTCTTTACTTCCATTACTCAGGAGGCTGAGGCCAGCAGATCTCTTAGTTCAAAGCCAGTCTAGTCTACATACTGAGACCCTGTCCACAAACAAACAAATACACAAAGTTACTGGTTACAAGGCTGGAGAGATGGTTCCGTAGTTGAGAGCACCATGGGTTAGTTCCCAGGCAAAAACAGGGCATCTTAGAACTGTCTGTGACTCCTGTTCCAGGGGACTAGATGTCCTTTTCTGGCTTATTCAGGCACTAGACACACATATGGCGATCATACATACATGCAGGTAAACACTCATACACATAAAATAAAAAGTAATTAATAAAAAAAAACCCAAAGTGCTTCTGGGGGATCTTTGGTTCCCAGAAGCCACCTTGAGTGTGTCACAACCACCTATAGCTCCAGCTTGAGGGGGTGACCACCCTTCTCTGGCCTCTGCTGGCACCCGCATACAAGTGACATGCATGCATGCAGACACACATACATACACACATAAAAGTAATTTTTTTTAAATAAAGGGATTGGATTATGTGTATTTCAAAATTAAGTTTCCACTAAAGAATAAAATTGCCAATGAGCAAAGCAACATGTCTAAGATATATGGAAGAAAACAATCCAAATAGATAAACAGCACTTTGTCAACTACTACTCAAAAACTGGATGAGGGTTTTTATTTCACTGAGGACATTAACACAGTATGCTACTGAAGAGCTTAAGATAGCCTGAATATAACTCCATTTTGAAATAAAGATCTTGACTGGGAACTGAATTCAGGTACCAGGAAATATCACAGAATGTACACCTGGCAGAAAACAAAGTTAACTCTCCTAGCAACAGCCTCCAGGAAATATAACATAATAAATGCTTCATAGAAAATAGAGACAAACTCCCTGGCAATAATCAATGGGAATCGGTTGAGAATCGGGTGGGAAAATTCTCCCCAATGTTTCAGATATGGTTTAGAAAAATAGCCATTGTGATTATATGCCTTAGCCATTGTGATTATGTGCCTCAGAAAAGGTCACCCCGCCCTGCTAAACTTCACCCAATTCTGTAATGCCAAGGCTTGTGCCCCCCTGCTTGCTGCCATGGAAACCCCCAGCTCACAGACTTTCCCTTTAAAAATCCTGTTCACTCAGAGCTCGGGGTCCCACTTCTCTACTGCTGCGCCAGTGAGACTTGGGTCCAGAGTTCGATCGCTCTCGTAATAAAGCTCTCTTGCAATTGCATCGAGTCGTCTCCTGGTGGTCTCTGTGGGTCCCGTGAACCTGGCATAACACTACTATTTCCAAAAATGTTTAGAGCAGTGGTTCTCAACCTTAATAATGCTGCAACCCTTTAATGTGGTTCCTCATGCTGTGGTGATCCCCAACCATAAAAATATTTCATTGCTACATCATACTGTAGTTTTGATACTTTTATGAATTGTAATATAAATATCTGATATGCAGGACATTTGGTATGCAATTCCAAGGGGCTCTTGACCCACAGGTTGAGAACTGCTGGTTTAGAGAAACCTTGGAGAATTTAAGAAAGGGCATCTGTAAAAGGAACTTTTATGTGCCTGTTTCAATTGTTGTCAAGTACTGCTGCTTATCTAGACCTAGTCCTGGAAGGTTTTAGCCCCCATGCAGTCTAATCTAGGCCTAAAATGTTTCAGCCTCTGAGACTTACTGCTTAATAAGCTGACCATTTCTTGTTCTTTCTGAGCTCTGGAATAGCTGGTTCAATTCAGCTGTTCTGGCTCAAACTCCTCTTCCCAGCCAACTCATTCAATCTGGCTTTTCTCTAGGCCTCGGAATTGCCCTGCTTGGCTTTAAACTAACTTCAGAAATGTCTTCTAATTTTCAGGCTCCTCATTCTCTAGCTCGTTCTGTCTAGCTTGTTCTTGCACTCAACCCCTCTCTGTAAAACTTTCCCAGTAAAACTCCCTCCTCTCCTCTCTGCATTGGCACTTAAGTAGCTGCCTTTTCCTCGCTCTTCTCACTGGGGCCTATCCTATTCTGTCAAGTCTTCCTCTAATTGTTTTCTGCCACTCAATTAAACATCACTTTTTTTTTTTTACATTTCTCAAATTTATTTGTTTTATTTTTTTTTAAATTTTTAAATAATTTTATACATTCACTTGTATCCCAGCTGTAGCCCACTCCCTTTTTCCCTCCCATTCCTCCCCTCCCTCCCTCATCTCCTCCCTGCCCCCTTCCGAGTCCACTGAGAGGGGGTGTCCTCCTCTCCTTCTGTCTGGCCCTAGCTTATCAGGTATCTTTAGGATGGTTGCAATGTCCTTATCTGTGGCCTAGCAAGACTGCTCTTCCATCAGGGGAGAGGGGAAGCTCATGAGTTCATGTCAGAAACAATTCCTGTCCCCCTTACTAGGGAACCCACTTGGATACTGAGCTACCATGGGCTATGTCTGAGCAGGGGTTGTAGGTTATATCCATGTATGGTCCTTGGTTGTATAAATAGTCTCATAGAAGACCCCTGTGCTCAGATATATTTGGACCTTGTGGGGCTCCCTGTCTCCTCTAGGATATACTAATTCCTCCTTCCTTCATGTGATTCCCTACACTCTGCTGAAGGCTTGGTTATGGGTCGTGGCATCTGCTTTGATACACTACTAGGTAGAGTCTTTCAGGTCCCTTCTGTGGTAGGCTACTGTCCTCTTGTTTTCTCCTATTTCCAATGTCCTTCTAGATGGGGATTGATCATCTTACCCCTGGACCTCTTTCTTGTTTATCTTCTTTAGGTGTACATATTTTAGTATGTTTATCCTATCTTATAGGTCTATATAAGTGAGTATATACCATGTTTGTCTTTCTGCTTCTGGGATGCCTCACTCAGGATGATTTTTTTTTTCTAGATCCCACCATTTGCCTGCAAAATTCATTATTTCCTTGTTTTTTTAATTGCTGAGTAGTATTCCATTGTTTAAAGTACCACAATTTCTGTATCCATTCCTCTGTTGATGGACATCTGGGTTGTTTCCAGGTTCTGGCTATTACGAATAAGGCTGCTACAAACAATGGTTGAACAAATGTCCTTGTTGTGTACTTGAACATCTTTTGGATATATGCCTAGGAGTGGTATGGCTGGATCTTGAGGAAGTGCTATTCCTAGTTGTCTGAGAAAGCGTCAGATTGATTTCCATAGTGGTTGTACCAGTTTACATTTCCACCAGCAATGGAGGAGGGTTCCCCTTTCTCCACAGCCTCTCCAGCATGTGTTATGTCTTAAATTTATCTTAGCCATTCTGATGGGTGTAAGGTGAAATCTCAGGGTCATTTTGATTTGCATCTCTCTGATGGCTAGGGATGTTGAACATCTCCTTATGTGTTTCTCTGCCATTCTATATTCTTCAACAGAGAATTCTCTGTTTAGCTCCATACCCCATTTTTTAATTGGGTTACTTAGATTATTGCCTTTTAACTTCTTTAGTTCTTTATATATTCCAGATATCAGCCCTCTGTCAGATGTTGGGTTGGTGAAGATCCTTTCCCAATCTGTAGGCTGACGTTTTGTTCTAACAACAGTGTCTTTTGCTTTACAGCAGCTTTTCAGTTTCATGAGGTCCCATTTATTGATTGTTGCTCTTAGGGCCTGTGCTGATGGTGTTCTGTTCAGGAAGTTGTCTCCTGTGCCAATGAGTTCAAGGGTCTTCCCCACTTTTTCTTCTAATCGATTTAGAGTATCTGGTTTTATATTGAGGTATTTGATCCACTTGGACTTTAGTTTTGTGCAGGGTGATAAATATGGATCTAGTTTCATTTTTCTGCATGTAGACATCCAGTCGGGCCAGCACTATTTGTTGAAGATGCTGTCTTTTTTTCCATTGAATGGTTTTGGCTGCTTTGTCAAAATCAAATATTCATAGATGTGTGGGTTTATTTCTGGGTCTTCTGTTCGGTTCCATTGATCCACCTTTCTGTTTCTATGCCAGTACCAAGCAGTTTTTACTATTATTGCTCTGTAGTACAGCTTGAGATCGGGGATGGAGATACCTCCAGACAATCTGTTGTTGTACAGGATTGTTTTGGAAATTCTGGGTTTTTGTTTCTCCATATGAAGTTGAGAATTTTTCTTTCAAGCTGTAAAGAATTGTGTTGGTAATTTGATGGGAATTGCATTGAATCTGTAGATTGCTTTTGGCAGAATGGCCATTTCACTATGTTAATCCTACTTATCTATGAGCATGGGAGATCTTTCCATCTTCTGATGTCTTCTTCAATTTCTTTCTTCAGAGACTTTTTTTTTTCAGAGACAAAGTTTTTTTTTTCAAACAGGTCTTTCACCTGCTTGGTTAGAGTCACCTCAAGGTACTTTATGTTATTAGTGGCTATTATGAAGTGTGTTTTTTCCCTGATTTCTTTCTCAGCCCTTTTGTCTTGGGTATACAGGAGGGCTTCTGATTTCTTTGAGTTAATTTTGTATCCTGCCACTTTGGTGAAGGTCTTTATCAGCTGAAGGATTTCTCTGGTTGAGTTTTGGGGGTTACTCAGGTATACTATCATATTATCTTCGAATAGTGAAACTTTGACTTCTTCCTTTCCGATTTGTGTTCCCTTGATTCCCTTACTTGTCTTATTGTTCAGTGGGATTTATTTAAGTTTCTCTCCATTGAGTTTGATGTTGGCTATAGGCTTGCTGTATATTGCCTTTACTATGTTTAGGTATGTTCCTTGTATCCCTCATCTCTCCAAGAATTTAAACATGAATGGGTGTTGGATTCTGTCAAATGCTTTTTCGGCATCTAGGGAGATGACCATGTGGTTTTTCTCCTTCAGTTTGTTTATATGGTGGATTACATTGATGGATTTCCGTATATTGAACCACCCTTGAATGCCTGGGATGAAGCCTACTTGGTCATGGTGGATGATATCTTTGATGTGTTCTTGGATTCGGTTCGCAAGGATTTTATTGAGTATCTTTGCATCAATGTTCATAAGAGAGATCGGTCTGAAGTTCTCTTTTTTTGTTGGATCTTTGTGTGGTTTAGGTATTAAGGTGACTGTGGGAGTTTGGTAATGTTCCTTCTGTTTCTATTTTGTGGAATAATTTGGAAAGAATTGGAGTTATCACTTCTTTGAAGGTCTGGTAGAATTCTGCACTGAAACCATCTGGCCCTGGGCCTTTTTTTTGAACGGAGGCCGTTGATGGCTGCTTCAATTTCCTCGGGGGATATAGGGCTGTTCAATCTTTCTACCTGGTCTTGACTTAATTTTGGTAGATGGAACCTATCAAGAAAATTGTCCATTTCTTTTAGATTTTCGAACTTTGTGGCATATAGGCTTTTGTAGTACGACCTAATGATTGGATTTCCTCATTGTTTGTAGTTATGTCACCCTTTTCATTTCTGATTTTGCTGATTTGGATAGTTTCTCTCTGCCTTTTAGTTAGTTTGGCTAAGGGTTTGTCTATCTTGTTAATTTTATCAAAGAACCAGCTCTTGGTTTCATTGATTCTTTGAATTGTTTATTTGTTTCTAATTGGTTGATTTCAGCCCTGAGTTTGATTATTTCCAGCCGTCTGCTCCTCTTGGGTGTTTCTGCTTCTTTTTTTTTTTTTTTTTTTTCCCTAGGGCTTTCAGTTGTGCCATTAAGTTGTTTGTATGAGATGTTACCAATTTCTTCTTAAAGGCACTTAGTGATATGAGTTTTCCTCTAAGTACTGCTTTCATTGTGTCCCATAAATTTGGGTATGTTGTGCCTTCATTTTCATTGAATTCTAGGAAGTCTTTAATTTCTTTCTTTATTTCATCCTTAACCCAGCTGTCACTGAGCAGTAAGTTGTTAAGTTTGCATGTGCATGTAGACTTTTTGCTATTTCCATTGTTGTTGAGGTCCAGTTTTAGTCCATGGTGGTCAGATAGTATACAGGGGATTATTTCAATCTTCTTGTATCTGTTGAGGATTTCTTTGTTACCATCTATATGGTCTATTTTAGAGAACGATCCATGAGGTGCTGAAAAGAATGTATACTCTTTTGAGTTTGGGTGAAGTCCTGTAGACATGTATTAGGTCCATTTGAATTAGGACGTTTGTAAGTGCCTTTTTTTCTCTGTTTGGCTTCTGTCTAGATGATCTGTCCCTTGGTGATAGTGGGGTGTTGAAGTCTCCCACTATTAAGGTGTTGGGGTCGATGTATGATTTAAGGCTTAATAATGTTTCATTTACGAATGTAGGTGCTCTTGTGTTTGGGTCATAGATATTCAGAATTATGATGTCTTCTTGGTGAATTTTTCCTTTGATGAGAATGTAGTACCCCTCTACGTCTTTTTGATTAGTTTTGGTTGAAAGTCTATTTTATTAGATATTAGGATACCCACTCCTGCTTATTTTTGGGTCCATTTGCTTGAAAAACTCTTTTCCAGCTTTTTACTCTGAGGTAGTGTTTATCTTTGATGCGTAGGTGTATTTATTGGATGCAGCAGAATGTTGGATCCAAACATCACTTTCAAACCTGGGTGCTTCCTCCTACAAATTATCTTTACCTTCATTGTTTGGGATTAAGGGCATGTACCACCACGACTTTTCTAAACCTTTCTTTACCTGGTGCTTGCTCAATACCAGGCTGGCTTCGAACTCAGATCTACTTGTTTCTGTCTGCTGGATTAAAGGCATGTTTGTATTCCAGTGAGATCACACAGACCTAGAAGGTCTTTGGATGTGATCTCTTGCCAGAGCAGCCATGTTCTGAATTACATTTCCTTTACTGGCATCAGAAATAAAACAAAGCTTAAACAATACCTTACCTCATTTAAACACTCCTTGTCTTCTCCATCTATAAGACTGTACATGATTTCTGTTGTTTTACTGGCTTAAAAGGAAATATTTCAGAGGGTCTGAAAACAAGAAAGAACGATTTGTTCAGCTCCTACTAAACGTCAGGTTTCAGTTTTTTCCCAAAGTGCTTTGTAAGTACTGATTCCTGTGAAACTTGAGGAAATGGAGATCATTTTGAGCTCTGTTGAATATATGAGAAAACTATGAGGATAGGGAGACTATTAACCTAATATCAAAGGGCTCGCGTTAGCAAGGGTGCCCTACTTACCCATGTATTATCTTGTTTTATCTTTTAAAAAGACAGTAAAGCCAATACAATTTTTAACATGTGTTAGAAATGTGCTCCTTCTACTTTAAGGAGTTGGTCATTCTGAGAAACCGGCTGTACAGTCTGTAGAAATCAGTGTTGCATCCTCTCGAGTTTGCACCCTGGAGACAGAACTGACAGCCCATGTGGAAATGCATGTACCTTGAGAAACACAAGCCTTGCTCCCCAAAGATAATATGAAAGTCAGCCTATCTCCTTGCTTTGGGGGTTTTCTCTGGAATCTTTGTCTCCTGCCCCATGCTATTCATAGCAGCTGTCTTTCTTACTTTTTGACATTAATTTCACTCTCCTAATGTTCTCATAACACCTGTTAATGTCCATCTCCCCCCCCCCCCCCAAGGCCTGATCATGGTCCCCACAGTCATAAGGCTCTTTCTAACAAAGCTAATTTCTGGAGAGTAATTTCTGCTCTGATTTCTAGCAGCAGGAGTGATGTAAGAGATTAATCCATTTAGTACTTTTTAAGATGACCCTTCTTCAGGTCCTCTTTACCCTTCTCTGCCCTCTTTAATCTGACCTCTGTGCTTGTGCATAAACACACACATAATAAATAAATAATAAGTAAATAAATAAAAATGTAATAAAAAATTCAAAATCACAGGTTATCAACGAATGCCCACAGTTTCTATGCTTCTCTCAGTGCTCAGTGTCAGCTGCTCTCAGTGCTGACAGCAGCTAGCACCGCCCCTTTACATAGAATTGTCCTCAGTCAGTCATGAGTCTGGCAGACAAACCACTTAGATCATTGTCCATGAAAAGAGGCAATCCACGTGGGGCACGCCTGCATGTTCTTGCTGAATGTATGAAGAACGAAAGGTTCTTTGTGCCCATCCTTGAGTCTGTGCTTTCAGTTGGCAACCTGAAAGAATAAGGTAGGGGGGGGGGGGGGGGATGGCACACGCCTTTAATCCCAACACTCAGGAAGGCAGAGGTGGCCGAATCACTGAGTTTCAGGCCAGCCTGGTCTACAAAGTGAGTCCAGGACAGCCAAAACAACACAGGGAAAACCTATCTCAAAAACCAACATCAACAAAAGAAACAAAAACAAAGAATAAGGTAAGGAATCCCCACTGACAAAGGGCAGGCTTGCTTTCCTAACAGGCATTGAATCCCAAGCTTAGTATGCCTGTCTCATAATGAAGTATTCTGGGTGTATCAGCATTCAAGGTGGTTAGGCCTTTTGAGTCACCTCTGTGACAACTGTGTAACAGGGTGGGCTTGCAGAACTGGCTCACATATTATACTGACACCCCTGGCTACTGCATTTACAGGGAGCCATACAGTTGGCTCTACAGGAGTCTGGTCTTCTGCCAGTATCCATGAGACAAGCTCGAAACAGTCATGTATCAACTGAAAATGTAATGTATCCATAAGTGAAAGTCAGAGAATCCCAAGAGAATAATAAAGCAGGCTATGAGTCTCATGTTCTTTCCTTTTCAGAAAACCATGTTTCTTTAAAGAGAAAGTACTTGCTTCCATGCCCTCCCTTTCCGGTGTGGCAAGTTTACATCATTTTCTGAAACAAGAAGGAAAAAGTAGGAGTAAAGCTATCATAACAACCCGCTAGGCTGTGGTAAGTATTCACTGAGAGCCAAATAGAGTTTTCCTTTATTTTTCTCCAATTTACCTTTTATTCTGTGAGCAATGAAACGATGAAAAAAGATGACATATTCAAAACTTTAACTGCAATTTCAAAAAATAGGATTTGTATGCTTCATCCATCCTGTGTTTCATCCAGCCAGTTCCTGTTTGGAAACCTGTGATGGCCAGTTATGGTGGATAGGTCCTTTTGTGTGTTGGGTATTAGGTGTTGTGGCAGGTACAATGAGCCCAATGAGTACAATGAGTGTGGGTTCGAAAGCGTTTCCCAGACCAAAATGGATAAAAAAAAGTTTTAATAGAAACGGTAGATAGAAAGACAGTGGGTAGATTCTCTGAGACAGAATTATGTCCCTTAAAGGAGATGGGAGTCAGGCCAGGGATGTTGGTAGAGTGCTTCCCGGGCACTAAGTCCAGGGTTCAAATACCAGCACCATCTGAAAAGGGGTGTGCTAGAACATGCTTACAAGCATTTGGAGGCAGGAGGGACTTAAAAGGCAGAGAGTGGTCACTTAAAAAAAAATGAAAAAAAGGAGATGGGAGTCTTTTTATGACGGTAAAGAGAAGTTACCTGACTTCACCTCTATAGTTCAAGGGAACAGATCATTATTTGGAGGAAGTAAGTTTTATCGTACCATGTTTCCTCCCAAGACTAGCCATATGAGGTGAGACACCAATGTCTATTTCCAGTTGGGCTCCAATTGTATGAGGCAACACAAACCACTGAGTCAGGCTTCAAACAGTCTGAGTCTGTCTGCACCACAGGGGAATTTTGCTATTTTTAGCCCACTTATTTTTGCCTCTTTACATCAGGGATTAAAACTAGAGCCTTACATACTGGACAAGTATTCTACCACTGAGCTATTATCAGCTCCTTTCCTGGGTGGATTTCATTCAACACCCAATGGTAAATAGATATGCATATAATTTACTGATTAAATAATATATATGTATATACACACAGTCTGAATATATAGAAATGTTTGTACTGTAAAGCTCATGCTGTTATGAGTACATGGTGGAAAGAGATGATTTACTTTTAAGTAAAGTACATGAATAAAACTCTTTTATATGGAAAATTGTTCCTCACCCTAATGTGATAACAGTTAATAGAAACAATCATAAAAAAGTGACAAAAAAAAGTAAATTGATCTGCTGCCCTATTGATGTGAAAAATACATCATGGGGTTGCTTGTCCTTGCCCCAAGTCCTTAGATGATTCACAGGTAGTTCCAGTTGTCTTTAATCTTTCGGGGAAGGTGTCTTTCTCAAGAAGTCACAGTTATCAACTTTAGAGCAAGACAGAAGATGCTTTCTAAGAGGAAAAGGTGGGTTTTCTAATTTAAATTGGGGTGGAGGAGGGGTGCTCCTATTCCCAGGATTCCAGTTTCAATCTGAAATGACCTGAGTCATGCTTATCAGGGGGTGGAAGGTTTGGGAAAGTTTCAAAGGTGGAATACATAGGTCACTTTGGATCTTATCTTAGATCTTATCTCCTCTTCCCCTCCCCTTTTCTCTCTTCCTCCCCCTCTCCCTCTCTCAGTCTT